CTCTCCATGGCTTCTCAAGGACTACAGCTGTAAGCTGTGTGTATTACCCCATAAAGAACACATATGACATAGACTTCAACAGCTTACAGCCACTCCACCCGAGTACCCACGCCTGCCTTGCAGTCCTCGTTGTTGCCTAGCTCTCAATTCATAACATGCGACTAAATACTTCCATGTCAGTATGAATAGCTTCGAGTTCGCGTTCCTTTGTAACTCTCTCTCCCTCTCTCTCTCTGTCTGTCTCTCTCCGTCTCTCTCTGTGTCTCTCTGGCTCTCTCTGTGTGTCTCTCTCTCCCCTCTCTCCTCTCTCTCTCTCTCTCTCTCTCTCTCTCTCTCTCTCTCTCTCTCTCTCTTTTGTACCTACTCACTATAAATACTTCGCGTAACCATACTTGTCACTGTGTGAGAGTGTAGACACATATAATTACTGGACACATATGTATGGAAACGCAATTCAGCATCTTTTACAATTCTAATAAGCCGACAGTTCTAATTAGAAAAAAACTCGTTTTTAATACATATAATTTGCCGCAAACTATAGCTTAAAGCAATATCAACGAAATTTCTTTGAAATTACATTCCTTGGGATCAAGCGATCACAATCGAGGTATCTGTGCTTCAGTTATATTTATGCTTCAGTTATATTCATGCTTCAGTTACCACGCCTGTGAATGTCGGTGTAATACCTGACGTACGTTTTCAGCTGACATAAGTCTTATAAGGAGGGAGGGGTAACGAGACGCTTGGGAAAAGAGTTTCTTCTTGCTCTAGAATACTGGTCACAAATCATAAGAACATGGAATTCATCTTCTACATGGTTATGTCCCTTTGAAAAACAGAAAGTGCAGACACGTTCATTATATGGGATGTTGTTGTGACGCCCCAGTTCAACAGCAATTCTGAAATTATTACATCGGAACGTGGCTATAAGTCTACGTTGATAAGAAGACATATCACAAGTAATATATGATTCCACATCTAGTAATGACTTGAACCGTGAGTAGTAATTGCATTTCGTTGATGATGTCAGGGAAAAGTGCCACTTTTGAGTGAGGCAGTATAGACCGCATATACCGTTCTATAAGAACAAGGTTTACAGTATTCAACTTACCACAGGACAAACTCACCTTTGAACAAACACGGTTTACTGAAAGTGTTAAGATACTCCTCACCGTATTTTATCAGTTAAAGCTCACCTAAATCGTAATGCCATAAGAAAAGGTCCACCGCATACACCATATCATAAGTAAAGGTTCACCGTATACACCATGTCATAAGTCAAGGTTCACCGTATACACTATGTCATAAGTAAAGGTTCACCGTATACACCATGTCATAAGTCAAGGTTCACCGTATACACTATGTCATAAGTAAAGGTTCACCGTATACACCATGTCATAAGTCAAGGTTCACCGTATACACTATGTCATAAGTCAAGGTTCATCATATACACCATGTCATAAGTCAAGGTTCACCGTATTCACCATGTCATAAGTCAAGGTTCACCGTATACACCATGTCATAAGTCAAGGTTCACCGTATACACCATGTCATAAGTAAAGGTTCACCGTATACACCATGTCATAAGTAAAGGTTCACCGTATACACCATGTCATAAGTCAAGGTTCACCGTATACACTATGTCATAAGTCAAGGTTCATCATATACACCATGTCATAAGTCAAGGTTCACCGTATTCACCATGTCATAAGTCAAGGTTCACCGTATACACCATGTCATAAGTCAAGGTTCACCGTATACACTATGTCATAAGTCAAGGTTCACCGTATACACTATGTCATAAGTCAAGGTTCACCGTATACATCATGTCATAAGTCAAGGTTCACCGTATACACTATGTCATAAGTCAAGGTTCATCGTATACACCATGTCATAAGTCAAGGCTCACCGTATACACCATGTCATAAGTCAAGGTTCACTGTATACACTATGTCATAAGTAAAGGCTCACCGTATACACCATGTCAAAAGTCAAGGTTCACCGTATACACCATGTCATAAGTCAAGGTTCACCGTATACACCATGTCATAAGTAAAGGTTCACCGTATACACCATGTCATAAGTCAAGGTTAACTGTAAACACCATGTCATAAGTCAAGGCTCACCGTATACATCATGTCATAAGTCAAGGTTCACCGTATACACTATGTCATAAGTCAAGGTTCATCATATACACCATGTCATAAGTCAAGGTTCACCGTATTCACCATGTCATAAGTCAAGGTTCACTGTATACACTATGTCATAAGTCAAGGTTCACCGTATACACTATGTCATAAGTCAAGGTTCACCGTATACACCATGTCATAAGTCAAGGTTCACCGTATACACTATGTCATAAGTCAAGGTTCACCGTATACACTATGTCATAAGTCAAGGTTCACCGTATACACTATGTCATAAGTCAAGGCTCACCGTATACACTATGTCATAAGTAAAGGCTCACCGTATACACCATGTCAAAAGTCAAGGCTCACCGTATACACCATGTCATAAGTCAAGGTTCACCGTATACACCATGTCATAAGTAAAGGTTCACCGTATACACCATGTCATAAGTCAAGGTTCACCGTAAACACCATGTCATAAGTCAAGGCTCACCGTATACACCATGTCATAAGTAAAGGTTCACCGTATACACTATGTCATAAGTCAAGGTTCACCGTATACACTATGTCATAAGTCAAGGCGCACCGTATACATCATGTCATAAGTCAAGGCTCACCGTATACACCATGTCATAAGTCAAGGCTCACCGTATACACCATGTCATAAGTCAAGGTTCACCCTATACGCCATGTCATAAGTCAAGGCTCACCGTATACACCATGTCATAAGTCAAGGTTCACCGTATACACCATGTCATAAGTCAAGGCTCACCGTATACACCATGTCATAAGTCAAGGTTCACCGTAAACACCATGTCATAAGTCAAGGTTCACCGTAAACACCATGTCATAAGTCAAGGTTCACCGTAAACACCATGTCATAAGTCAAGGCGCACTGTATACATCATGTCATAAGTCAAGGCTCACCGTATACACCATGTCATAAGTCAAGGTTCACCGTATACACCATGTCATAAGTCAAGGCTCACCGTATACACCATGTCATAAGTCAAGGTTCACCGTATACACCATGTCATAAGTCAAGGCTCACCGTATACACCATGTCATAAGTAAAGGCTCACCATATACACCATGTCAAAAGTCAAGATTCACCGTATACACCATGTCATAAGTCAAGGTTCACCGTATACACTATGTCATAAGTCAAGGTTCACCGTATACACCATGTCATAAGTCAAGGTTCACCGTATACACCATGTCATAAGTCAAGGCTCACCGTATACACCATGTCATAAGTCAAGGTTCACCGTATACACCATGTCAAAAGTCAAGGTTCACCGTATACACCATGTCATAAGTCAAGGTTCATCGTATACACCATGTCATAAGTCAAGGCGCACCGTATACATCATGTCATAAGTCAAGGCTCACCGTATATACCATGTCATAAGTCAAGGTTCACCGTATACAGTATGTCATAAGTCAAGGTTCGCCGTACACACTATGTCATAAGTAAAGGTTCACCGTATACATCATGTCATAAGTCAAGGTTCACCGTATACACCATGTCATAAGTAAAGGCTCACCGTATACACCATGTCATAAGTAAAGGTTCACCGTACACACTATGTCATAAGTAAAGGTTCACCGTATACACTATGTCATAAGTAAAGGTTCACCGTACACACCATGTCATAAGTCAAGGTTCACCGTATACACCATGTCATAAGTCAAGGTTCACCGTATACACCATGTCATAAGTCAAGGTTCACCGTATACACCATGTCATAAGTCAAGGCTCACCGTATACACCATGTCATAAGTAAAGGTTCACCGTATACACTATGTCATAAGTAAAGGTTCACCGTACACACCATGTCATAAGTAAAGGTTCACCGTACACACTATGTCATAAGTCAAGGTTCACCGTATACACCATGTTATAAGTCAAGGTTCACCGTATACACCATGTCATAAGTCAAGGCTCACCGTATACACCATGTCATAAGTCAAGGTTCACTGTATACAGTATGTCATAAGTCAAGGTTCACCGTATACACCATGTCATAAGTCAAGGTTCACCGTATACACTATGTCATAAGTCAAGGTTCACTGTATACACTATGTCATAAGTAAAGGTTCACCGTTTACACCATGTCATAAGTAAAGGCTCACCGTATACACTATGCCATGAGTCAATGCTTACCATATACACCATGTCATAAGTCAAGGCTCAACAAGGGGATGCTCAATTAATAAAAAAAATATAGTTCGCTTTTAATCACACATCTTGCAGACTGAAGTCGATATTGACTTTCCGCTCTCGATGAAATAATTAAATTGAAACCAGTATAATGTATAGAGTCGAGATAGGGGTAATCAGAGACTATATAGGTATATGGTCTTTGGAGTAATACAGACAGAAGAAGACCCGAGAAGATCCGGGGTAGAATAGGTCTTAAGCAATCCATGCTTGTCTTAAAGGCGACTATGCTTGTCGTAAGAGGCGACTAACGGGATCGGGTGGTCAGGCTCGCTGACGTGGTTGATGTATGCCATCGTATCCCATGCATGGATCGATGCTCATCATCTTAATCACTGGATTGTCTCGTCCAGACTCGATTATTTACAGACCGCCGTCATACAGCTGGACTATTGCTGAGTGCGGCGTTAAACAACAAACAAACAAACAAAACAGGCTTAAGAACACAAGAAAATGAATACCGGGTGAAGATGTGACAGTTCACCCCAAGCGCCTCCATGTACAGATCATTTAACAACAATGCACCCCATGATTTCTCTTTGCGGAATGTACTGGTTGGGTGAACATGGATAAATTCAAGTCATAATCATACACCATGACAGTGAAAGCCAACACTGACTCCGTCCTGGATAATTGTAAATTGACACATGGTTAAAACAAGCTGTCGCGCTGGTAGCCCTGGTGCCTGGACACATCGCCGACCAGAACACAGGGCTGTCAGTGTAGGAAGTGTATAGTCCCAGCATCCGGACTCAGTTCGGACAGCGTATCCGGCGAGTTTGAGCAATCAGTTAACGACAGGGCTGTTGAGGATATAGGAGGACCAGGACATTGTGTGGTCAAATCAGAGACTGTGGGATTAACGCGCGCACGAGGATGGGGAACTTGTTCAGTCGAAGGTGAGGCCGAATTATCTTGACCTTAGATATATTTGATGTTGACTTCATCATGTGTAATCGGTAACGGTTGATGTAAGTTTAGACTTATGACAAATTTCGCTGAGATAGGGATTTGCAAACTATAGTTACTTTTCTTCTTTAAAGTAGAATGAAAAAGCTTGTTTCAATGTTTATCTCATGACCAGAGCACGTATAGTCACATGTTTCATTATTAATGTTAATGTTTGTTGTTCTATTAAAACATGTGACCAAAATGTACAGTATATGTAAATCAATAAAAAAATTATATATTCTGTCAATGATGTGTATAATAACACAGACATGGTCAACATATGGTGTATGTCATACATTGCTATGAATTCTACAAATGTCGGCGTGTTCACTCAGCTACGGTTTCAATGAATACCTTTTAGTGAGTTCATGGGTGGCCTTGTAAGGGGAGGCAATTCACCGTGCGGAGTTACCTCACTTATTTGTTCCAGGATCAGTTGACCGCGCGTTCGAATATCCGATTACTCCGATTATGGTTCTTGCCCTGTACGCGTTATATTCGTGTGATCGACCACAGCAATATATGTGTCACCACCGTCCCACAGTAAGCTCATATACTGTGATAAAGCGAAATAATGCTCAAAGTAGCTTTATATCCATCTGACGCTGTATGCACTGACAGCAATAGTGTTTTTAAGAAAACGTACAACTTTATGGATAACAAGTTCTGGTTTAATGCATATAGTGAGTGAACTCCAGCTTGATTGCGGTGAACGAATTCCCATCGAAACGTCGCTATATGCAATATAGAAAACTAGAAGTGAGGAGTAATTTTTTACGCCGCTTTTAGCAATATTCCAACAATATCACGGCGGGGAACACCAGAAATGGGCTTCACACATTGTACCCATGTCGGGAATCGAACCCGGGTTTTCGGCGTGACGAGCGAACGCTTTAATCACTAGGCTACCCGACCGCCCTAAACCAGAAGTGTTATCTATAAAGTTGTACGTTTTCTTATGTATTCACCACTTTCAGAATGCCAGTGAAACATAGTTTTGAAGGGCAGTTATAAAAGTACGTTTTATATGAAGTCAAGATGTACAACCACATATTGTACCAGGCCATATCGTCCGCAACGCATTACCTACCACAATGCGAGACTGTCAGAACATTAAACATTTTACGGAAATGGCTTTTTTCGGAAACAATGTAACCATGGAAAAATAACCTTGCCCCATTTCTTAACATGTATATGCGTATACCATGCCCTTGACCTTCGTGCTTTTAGGCGTATACACGTATTAATTCCGTATGTCAAAGTTGCCTTGCTCGTTGGTTTGGAAACGTGTAGCGAATATTATTTCAAGATTGGATAATAACCTTGTTCCTTGCTTTTAAAGCTGTTCACCCCTAACTGGTATGGCTATGAGAGGTTTTCTCTATCGCAGGTCCAAGATTAGATGGTCAGTTTTGTACGGTGGCATGTGTCCAGTGATACCTTGACCCCAACTATTCCATGTTTGAACTGTTTTCTATGACTAATGTGATATGACATGCAGACCGCGTTAGTTCAAACGCTGTGAGTATAGGCCGACCTGCACGTAACGCTCTACGAGTTAGGCTTATTTGTGGAATGTCCATTGTCCCGCGTCAACACAGCAACAAATAACAAATAACAACAAAACAACATGGTTTGCATGTTACTCGTCATATAAAGAAGAATATCGATATCTAGTTTAGGAAAATCATGCACTATAATACAAAATACCCCATGAAATCGTCAGAAAAAATCTCTTGTGTGACAAACGCACTGCAATGACGGTCACACTGTATGATTTGGCGTGACGGTAAGTGTACTGTGAAGATATAGGTCAGATATAATACAGTTGTTCTTACCACAGCTGTTGGCGATGCATATAGTCAATCGGTTTCCACTATTAATATGATTTGTGTTTATTGCAAGCTCGGCAGACCATCAGTGCAACGACGCCCATACCTCTGCTGAAGTGTTATTGTCGCTCTGCTGATTGGGAAAATTGAAACATCACCACTCAACTGAAATAATAGCGTCACTGTAAAATTCACCAACGTTATCAACTAAATTAAATGTTATGATGCTCATATGTGTATCACTGAATATTCACTGCGGGTTTAACCAAAAAAGGGGTTTGGGGTAGCCTAGTGGGTAAAGTGTTCGCCAGTCACGCCGAAGCCCCGGGTTCGATTATTCGGATGTCCCGGTGGGGATATTATTGGAATATGGCTTAAAGTGACATTAAACATACACACTTACTCCGGAAACAAATTTGAAGGTTTAATTGTCATCAGGGTTAACCTTAGATATACATGTATATCGCCGGGCATACTGGGTGCCCTGAAATTTGTGTGGTGAAAAGAAATCAAATTAAAAAATACCTGCCTGTAATAAATGTCTATATGTACATCACTTCATATTTGACGTGTTGCACTATACCCATGGGAGTATTAGCCGTATGTATGTCAACTGTCGCGCAAAAAAAACTACCTGAAAATTAGAATTGACCAAAACATTATAAACGTTTACAAAACAGTCGCCGAAACATATTGTAAACTTAAGTCTCAAACATCAGCATCGAAGATTCGTTGTTTGTTTGTTTCATCGTTACCCATGGCTACCATCAAATACGTGTGTATACTTTCTTTTGCCCGGCACTTTACCTGGTACCTTTTAGTGTGACAGCGATGTCACTCAACTTTTATAGGTGTGAACAAGAACTGTGAAAATTTAGACTCTTGATATATTGAATCACATGTCACAACTGCGAAAACTTATGTGCAAATTATATCACTGTAATACACTTAGTCGTATATTTTGTTCACAATATCTTATATAATTACTTGGTTTTTTTTATTTGAAGGTGCTCTTCTGGTCTCACGTTTGTTATGATGTAATTGTGTTTGCATTTATTAACTTAACTTTATGTTATGTCAATAAAGATGAGTAACATCTACAATAAATTCTATCATGTTTCAAGAACCAATCAAGTCAATGTCTTAACATGTTAAACCGCAGAAGTTACTTTACGCATCGTATGACCAACATAGATCCAAATAAATATGAGGAGGGTCAATTAAGGTGTCTCAGTTCACTTCAGTCCATCTCTCCAAAATCCAGTCTCATTTTCAGGCAACATGTATACTGACTGAAAAGTTCAGTCAATATGTACATTGCCTGAGTGAATCAAACAATTTACATATTGCCTGATTATAGGCATTGATTGTGAGATATTTGCATAACACCCGGTACTTGATGTCTGTTCACTACTTGCTAATAGACAACAATTGCTTAAACACCTGGCTATTAACATATATGTATAATTCGCATGCAGAACACGGTGTATGTAACAGATTATACCCATATCGTCAACACCAGCTGGTGGGAGGAAGTATTCACTGATGGATAACACTTATGGCGATTTATCAGTAACTTCAATAATAGTATTTGACTTTTATTTTTCAATTATATATTAAACTTTTTCAGTACAGTAAACTACGGTTATAACGAACACGCTTATAACGAACTTACGGATATAACGAACTTACTTTTTTGTTCCCGACTATTTGCTGTAGTTATGCTGTATATATGCTTATAACGAACTACGGTTATAACGAACTAAATTAGTAGTCCCTTTGAGTTTGTTATAACAGTACTTTACTGTATTTGAAAGAGGAGTTAATATCGTTAACTGTTCTATCGCTTTTGTTAATCAACGTCGCTATATGGCTGAAATAATGCCATATTTGATATTTGATATTTGATACAGTTATTGAACAAGTACATAACACGATATGTTGTTTATGTGAACAGTTTTATGTTCGTGTAAACAAAGGGGAATGATGTTTCACCTTGGAATGAAATTTGAGATAATTGACTGATGAAGTTTACAAAGAGAGGATAGCTTTAATATAGTCTGACTCTCTGAACAGAAAATATTGATAGAGGGAGTGTTGATATTTAAAGTGCTGGGGTAGTTGCACGTTTTGAACAGACGAGAAAAACAGTGTTGATGTATACAGAGTCGGGATAGTGGGACTTTCTGAACAGAAATAATATATGGAGTGTAAATATATACAGAGTCGGGATAATGGGATTTTCTGTACAGAAAGAATAGATAGAGAGAGTGTTAATATATAGACAGTCGGGAAAGTGGGATTTTCTGTACAAAGAGAATAGATAGAGAGAGTGTTAATATATATACACAGTCGGGATAGTGGGATTTTCTGTACAGAAAGAATAGACAGAGTGTTAATATATACAGTGTCGGGATAGTGGGCTATATGGCTGAAATAATGCCGATGCGACGTGAGATTTAAACTCACCTATTCATCCACAGTATACATCCACTAACATGTATCAGTCGAACGATGCACTAGGTTAAACATTGTAGTTGTACAACGTGAGGTGTTTACTGACGTATGGGCAATAATTAAGAAATGACTTATTGTGTAGTTTATGTTAATTATAACTCTCTAAACGCAATACTATATAAGTTAATAAAATAAATACAACAATAATAACTTCACAGACTGCTAATTTAATCTTTAAAACAAAGAAAACTGTAGACAGCGTTACGAAATCAGTGCAATAATGCGACGCAAGCCCCGCCCACTATTATCAACCAATCAGGAAACAGTTGTCAGCTAGTGGGCGTGGCCTAATTTTCTTTTTTTTGGTTTCTGGAAGCGTAAGCGCAAACAATATTGCTTGTTTAGCCAATCAATTGTAATTGAATAAATTGCAGTTTATAATTTGTGTGTCAACGTATATGTGTATATGCGTCACCGTGTACGTGTGTACACTCCTATTTCGTTGTGATTTTTGACCTCAGCAATTTTTGACAAAATTCAGAAAATGAACAGCCAAATACAATTTAGATATCCGGTATTGTTGCAATGTTTTCCTTAATCTATGTACATGTACTTTGTACGTCTATTGTCCTTGTCGAAAGCGGGTATATTTCAGTTTCGGTTTCACGTAACTGCATGGCGATCAGGAGCATATTGTGTACGTCCACATCACGTGGTGGGCAAAGTGATCATGGGTAATTTGTCGTTTCAGTGATTCAGGGGAGATCACCCAGCCGCGACTCACGTCTGCTCAGCCCATAGGAGACCCAACACCACAACCACCGCCACCAGCAACAGCAGCAGCAGCAGCGGACGACTTCGCCATGTACCGACATCGATACAGGGGCTACAGGCCAAGCTACACTTTCAATCCAAACAGGTAGGGTGGACACAGTGGATGGGTTGGTGATGGAGTATAAGGTAGTTATTATAGTTATATCACACCAAAGGGATTGGACTTTCCTCCCACATGAAGCTGACACGCCGTGGTATGACTGGAATATTTTCCAAAGCGGCGTTAAACCCAACTTACTCACTCACTCACTCACTCACTCACTCACTCACTCACTCACTCACTCACTCACTCACTCACTCAACTTTCCGAGGCAAGTGTGTTCACTAGACCATATCAAAGTCGGGTAGAAACTACACCTTTGATATAGGCTAGTGGTCACTCTTGCTTCGGGAAGATGTCACTTTAAGGGGTATGATAGGTCAGGCAGGTCGTAGACATATACCGTTGTTTATCATCATCATCATCATCATCATCATCATCATCATCCCTGGCCGGTGGTTTGATTCCCCGCTAAAGTGTGGTATGTAATGGTGTCAGCTTAACGGGCAATTACAAGGACTAGCCGATTCGGAGTCAGTATACATCCTGAATGCGAGGTTAAATCCTATTTTCCTTACCTCATCACCTCCGTTAAACGTTGTTGTTATTGTTGTTGTTCATGCTGTTGTTGTTGATCAGGTCCAGCTACTACAGATATGCCCGGCGATACCCATCCTACAGCTATCCAAGATGGCGCCCCCGGGCGAGCGAGCGTGACCGACGTTTCCTCACCTTCCTCAACGACGACAGATACAGGAACAGAGACTTGAACAGAATACACAGACCTAGTACGTGACGGCGTTGCCGCGAGCTACGACAGTCTTTAAAAAGACACTAAATAATATTCGGCCACTAGAAATTATTAGAAAAAATACACTCACCGCCAAGAGAAATGCGAATACCATACATGTTGGTTAATATAATATTTTATGAAGAATTACTAATATTCAAAATATATTAGATTAGTTTGATGTACAAATTAACATCCTGGCATGCTGTGTGAACCGACGCTCATGAACGCATCACATGTGACGTCATAGATCCATAATTCGAGATGCACCATTTGTCTCGTTCAGGATTAGCGTGTAAAGTTTGAAATCACGTGTAACAGATCGTGATAAGAATAAAGACACTCTGTGGTAACGCTTGACTGATTGTTAGTTTTCTCATAAATTGGTACACATTGGAAACATATTTTCTCAACGTATATACTTCTCTATATGTTTCTATGGATCGCGTTTCTTTTGGCGGTGAGTATACATTGTGTTGATACAGTTAGTGAACAAGTACATAACACATATGTTGTTTATGTGAACAGTTTTATGTTCGTGTAAACAAAGGGGAATGATGTTTCACCTTGGTATGAAATTTGAGATAATTGACTGATGACGTTTACAAAGAGAGGATAGCTTTGATATAGTCTGACTCTCTGAACAGAAAATATTGATAGAGGGAGTGTTGATATTTAAAGTGCTGGGGTAGTTGCACGTTTTGAACAGACGAGAAAAACAGTGTTGATGTATACAGAGTCGGGATAGTGGGACTTTCTGAACAGAAATAATATATGGAGTGTAAATATATACACAGTCGGGATAGTGGGATTTTCTGTACAGAAAGGATAGATAGAGTGTTAATATATACAGAACCGAGATAGTGGGATTTTCTGTACAGAAAGAATAACTGGAAGGAGTGTTAATATATACAGAGTCGGGATAGTGGGATTTTCTGTACAGAAAGGATAGACAGAGGGAGTGTTAATATATACAGTGTCGGGATAGTGGGATTTTCTGAACAGAAGGAATAACTAGAAGGAGTGTTAATATATACAGAGTCGGGATAGTGGGATTTTCTGTACAGAAAGAATACATATATAGGAAGCTTGGTTATAGCCACATAGTCGGAACAGATACCGAGAGGTTTGTGAACGCGATACTTCGGGGGCAAGACATTGAGTTGCCGGCATAGTGGGGTTGATAGTCGTGGTAGGACGTTGTGACAGTGATGTAACCGACATGGATGTATGTCTACAGGTGACGAGATAGAAGCAAGCCAACCCGAGGTCCCAGTGGCAGAAGTTGCCACAAGGCTACACGTCAAGGGCGTCGACCTGCACATCGAAGACAATGGACGCAACCACGTCACAGATATGTACGAGTGTACGTCCGCCCGCACTGGAAGGGATGGTACCCGCAAACCGGCCGAGCTGGTCATCCGTCGGGGCCAAGAGTTCACCCTGACCATAAACTTCGACAGGCCGTATGACGTAAAGAAGAATGATATCTCACTGACCTTCAACCTCGGTAAGAAGACTTGTCTTCAAAGCATGTCTTTCATCTTGCTGGATCGGTAACATATCCAGATTCTCAGGATTCTGGAATAAGATTATCGATATCAGTATTCAACGATTCCGGATTAAAGAGCATTTTCAGGTTGAATAACATTCATTCGGATTCAAAGAGTCCCAGAGTAATGAGTGAGTGAGTATGGTTTTGTGCCGCTTTTAGCAGTATGCCAGCAATATAATGGCGGGGGACACCGGACACCAGAAATGCAATGGGATTCACACATTGTACCCATGTGGGGAATCGAACCCGTCTTCAGCGTGACGAGCGAATGCCACTAGGCTACCCTACCGTCCCTGTAGAGTAATGAGGTTGTTCATAACAGTAACGTTAGAAGTTTAGGATACTTTCCTGAACGTATTGTAAATATGAAAGGTAAAAAAACAACCATAGTTAGATAAAGACCGATGCGACTTTAAATAAACTCACTCACTCACTCACTCACACTTTGTCCACGACAAATAAACATTGTTTTATCTCCCTTGGGAATGTTAAAACATAATTTAATTATCTTTGATTTAATCTAGGGGATGATTACAAACCAAAGAAGAGTATGAACGCGACGTTCAAGGTGGATGAAACGGGCAGCAAGAAATATAAGCCCAAAAAGTGGGGCGCGTCGTTGGTGTCGCAGAAGGGAAATTCCCTCACCGTCTCGGTTTTCGCTCCCGCCTCCATCCCAGTAGGAGAGTGGGAGTTCAGCGTCAAAACTATCGTGGACGTCAAGGACGGCAAAGATCTCATCTGGCAATACAACCACAATGAAGACATCAACATCCTCTTCAACCCTTTTTGTGAAGGTAAAAGCAAAACCATTTTGTTGTCACTTCCGACCCAGTTTGTAGTCATACACTCAGTAAACTACGTTTATAACGAACACACTTATAACGAACTGTCGGATATAACGAACTTATTTTTAGTCCCGACTATTTGTTGTATATATGCTGTATATATGCTTATGACGAACTACGGTTATTACGAACTAAAATTAGTGGTCCCCTCGAGTTCGTTATAACCGTAGTCTACTGTAACCCCAAATACTGTCACATCTAACCCAGTATATCACGAAGTTCTCTCTGTGAACAGTGACTTGGGGCATGTGGAGCTAGATGTATAGTGTCATGTTGTCCTCTCAATAGGACAAGGTGCATGTGGAGCGAGAGTTTCTGTCATGTCCTGTCGTCCTCCCAAGAGGAATAAGTGTACGCGGCGCTAGTACTATAATGTCCTGTTGTCCTCCCAAGAGGAATGAGTGTAGGTGGCGCTAGTACTATAATGTCCTGTTGTCCTCCCAAGAGGAATAAGTGTACGCGGCGCTAGTACTATAATGTCCTGTTGTCCTCCCAAGAGGAATGAGTGTAGGTGGAGCGAGAGTTTCTGTAATGTCCTGTTGTCCTCCCAAGAGGAATAAGTGTACGTGGCGCTAGTACTATAATGTCCTGTATTCCTCCCAAGAGGAATAAGTGTACGTGGCGCTAGTACTATAATGTCCTGTTGTCCTCCCAAGAGGAATAAGTGTACGTGGCGCTAGAACTATAATGTCCTGTTGTCCTCCCAAGAGGAATAAGTGTACGTGGCGCTAGTACTATAATGTCCTGTTGTCCTCCCAAGAGGAATAAGTGTACGTGGCGCTAGTACTATAATGTCCTGTTGTCCTCCCAAGAGGAATGAGTGTAGGTGGAGCGAGAGTTTCTGTAATGTCCTGTTGTCCTCCCAAGAGGAATAAGTGTACGTGGCGCTAGTACTATAATGTCCTGTTGTCCTCCCAAGAGGAATGAGTGTAGGTGGAGCGAGAGTTTATGTAATGTCCTGTTGTTCTCCCAAGAGGAATAAGTGTACGTGGCGCTAGTACTATAATGTCCTGTATTCCTCCCAAGAGGAATGAGTGTAGGTGGAGCGAGAGTTTCTGTAATGTCCTGTTGTTCTCCCAAGAGGAATAAGTGTACGTGGCGCTAGTACTATAATGTCCTGTTGTCCTCCCAAGAGGACAAGGTGCATGTGGAGCGAGAGTTTCTGTTATGTCCTGTTGTCCTCCCAAGAGGAATAAGTGTACGTGGCGCTAGTACTATAATGTCCTGTCGTCCTCCAGAGAGGAATAAGTGTACGTGGCGCTAGAACTATAATGTCCTGTTGTTCTCCCAAGAGGACAAGGTGCATGTGGAGCGAGAGTTTCTGTTATGTCCTGTTGTCCTCCCAAGAGGAATAAGTGTACGTGGCGCTAGTACTATAATGTCCTGTCGTCCTCCAGAGAGGAATAAGTGTACGTGGCGCTAGTACTATAATGTCCTGTCGTCCTCCCAAGAGGAATGAGTGTACGTGGTGCTAGTACTATAATGTCCTGTCGTCCTCCAGAGAGGAATAAGTGTACGTGGCGCTAGTACTATAATGTCCTGTCGTCCTCCCAAGAGGAATAAGTGTACGTGGCGCTAGTACTATAATGTCCTGTCGTCCTCCAGAGAGGAATAAGTGTACGTGGCGCTAGAACTATAATGTCCTGTTGTTCTCCCAAGAGGAATGAGTGTAGGTGGAGCGAGAGTTTCTGTAATGTCCTGTTGTTCTCCCAAGAGGAATAAGTGTACGTGGCGCTAGTACTATAATGTCCTGTCGTCCTCCCAATAGAACAGGGTGTACGTGGAGCGAGTGTTTCTGTAATGTTCTGTTGTCCTTCTCAGAGGACAGGGTGTAGGTTGAGCGAGTTTTTCTGTAATGTTCTGTTGTCCTTCTCAGAGGACTGGGTGTAGGTTGAGCGAGTATTTCTGTAATGTTCTGTTGTCCTTCTCAGAGGACTGGGTGTAGGTTGAGCGAGTATTTCTGTAATGTTCTGTTGTCCTTCTCAGAGGACTGGGTGTACATGGAGGACAAGAGCTGGCTGCAAGAGGCGGTGTTAAATGACAAAGGTTCTCAGTATTACGGCACCTACACAAAGATGGGAGCCAGGAGTTGGTTCTTCGGCCAGGTAAAGAACGTCTCAGGTCACAGTGGTTGCATTATATTGGAATATTGAAAAGTTGTTGACCTTTGTACAGATAACCACAAACTGATAATCTGACAGAAGAGTTTGTGAGTATCAGTGAAGTCTTCTCTGTCACATAGTCTATTGCTTGAGGTTATTTATTTATTTATTTATTTATTTATTTATTTATTTATTTATTTATTTATTTATTTATTTATTTATTTATTTATTTATTTATTTATTTATTTATTTATTTATTTATTTATTTATTTATTTATTTATTTATTTATTTATTTATTTATTTATTTATTTATTTATTTATTTATTTATTTATTTACCCATGTGGGGAATCGAACCCGGGTCTTCGGCGTGACGAGAAAAAGCTTCAACCTCTAGGCGTCCCCACCACCCCTACTATTTATTGAATGTATTTAGGGAAATTTTATTTCTTCTCTAAATAAAAGCGACAAAACCCCTTCCATATTAATAACAAATCTTTGCTATAAGCAGAGTCGATTGTACTATTCCGACTATATGATGAGCATGTATCTAAGAATCACTATTAAATAGTGATGATACCAGGTGTTCGCGAAAAGGTGGACGTATCCTGTCCCTTCGTCATAAACACCTGCAAAGGCAAATCCAAACTTTGTTAACAAAGGACGAATGGGGACTAGTTTTTTAACTTCATCTATGAAATATTAATCTAAATACATGCATGAGCAAGTCCGTGATTTATGATGATATTAAGCATACCTTCTACATTTACTTCGAAAATCAGCTATTCCCTCGTTTATGTAAAAAAATAGAATGAAAACATCGTAATCAGCCTCACTGTCACATTTTACTTGTACATGTAGTGTTAGAATATATCCAAAACAACACATCTTGTCAGTTTCACACAGGAATTTCAAATACATTGTTATGAGAAGGGAAGTAACTCATTTGATTTGTCTTGTCATGTCGGCCTCAGTCCATACGACTACTACCACTACCACCACTACTACTGCTGCTGCTACTTGTGCTATTACTTAGTCTACTACTTCTACGTCACCTTTTACTACTACTACTACTACTACTACTACTACTACTACTACTACTACTACTTATTGTACTACTCCCCCTGCTTTCTGGTGTCCCCCGCCGTGATATTGCTTGAATATTGCTAAAAGCGGCGTCAAACCATACTCACTCACTCACTACTCCTGCTGCTGCTACTGCTCCTTATTTTGCTACTACTACTACTTCTTCTTTTACTACTATCACTACTACTACTGTTGATGTTTTTACTACTACTACTACTGCTACTACTACTACTACTTCTACTTATTGCACTACTACCCCTGCTTTCTGGTGTCCCCCGCCGTGATATTGCTTGAATATTGCTAAAAGCGGCGTCAAACCATACTCACTCACTCACTACTCCTGCTGCTGCTGCTGCTACAGCTCCTACTTTTGCTACTACTACTACTACTACTACTTCTTTTCCTTTTATCACTACTACTACTGTGATGTTTTTACTACTACTACTACTGCTACTACTACTACTACTACTACTGCTACTACTACTTCTACTACTACTACTACTACTGCTACTGCTACTGCTACCACTACTTCTTTTACTACTATCACCACTACTACTGTTGATGTTACTACTACTACTACTACTGCTACTACTACTACTACTACTACCACCACCACCACTACTACTCTTTCTACATAGGACATGCAGCATTTCACATGACAGTCTCACAGACCTTGTACACAATGGAAGATTTGTTGTAGTTCGAGGACGGCATTCTGGACGCTGCGTTCCATCTGGTGAGGAAAGGGTACGGCTACCGCACCACACCCGACATGGGCAACGCTGCATCTGTATCGAGGATCATCTCCCAGATTGTAAGTAATCCCGGGGTCATGAAGGATCAAATGTTTGTGCAAAGAACACCAGGACCAGGGTCAAAGAACACCAGGACAGAGTAATCGGTTTAATGTATTTTGGAGAATATTGTACGATAACCATATATTACGATAAAATCAAACTGGATGATTAAAAATATTTTTTCGCCCCACATATTTCATTGTTGAGATAATTCATTTTTCTGATTTGATAGCTTGACAAAAATCATAATATTTCGGGAGATGCTATCGAGGAGAACACGGATATAAAAATATCACAACAGTGTCGTTATATGTGAGGTGAGGTGAAATTGGGTTTAACGTCGCGTCCAAGATTATTGCACTTATATAGCGACGTGCATGGTGTGTGTGTGTGTGTGTGTGTGTGTGTGTGTGTGGCTGCTTGTACTAACCCGGACTGATGCCGATTTATAATGCTAGCCCACTGAGATACCATGCCGCAGTTTTAACATGAATACCCCACTCAGACTCAGTATACTGACTCCGAGCCGACCAGTCCCTGTTTTAGCCCCTTAATGCCGAGCTCCAGACAGGGTAACAACAAGTACCATCTTTTAACGTCTTTTGGTATGACGCGGCCGGGAATCGAACCCCGGACCTTCCGCTCTTCGGGCGGACGCTCTACCACTAGACCACGGAGGCGGTCTCCAGTGTCGTTTTAAGTTGAAAGTAGACTAGCAGTAACCTACTATACGTGTATACGCTCCATCACCTCTCTCCTCCGCTCCCATTGGCTGTATCTATTGGTCGATAATGTCTACTCTGCTTTACATACACTCTGCATTGCAATACCTACGTCATCAGGTAAACGCCCCCGACGACGACGGCGTGTTGATGGGCAACTGGAGCGGCAACTACGAGGGAGGGACGCGCCCCACCAAGTGGAACGGCAGCGTCAAGATACTTCGTCAGTACATGGACACGGCTAAACCTGTCAAGTACGGCCAGTGCTGGGTCTTTTCTGGAGTCGTCACGGCAGGTATATGCTGTCCCAAAGCTGATTTCTTATATCTATCCAAAGGCCTCCATAACAGTTATATCATGATCGTCCAAAGACAGTCATGGCAGGTATATCGTGATTGTCCTAAGAAAGTCATGGCAGGCATATATTGATTGTCCTAGGGCAGTCGTGGCAGGCATATACTGATTGTCTCAAGATCGTCATGGCAGGCATATATTGATTGTCTCAAGATCGTCATGGCAGGTATATATTGGTTGTCTCAAGTTAGTCATGGCAGGTATATATTGATTGTCTCAAGATCGTCATGGCAGGTATATATTGGTTGTCTCAAGATCGTCATGGCAGGTATATATTGGTTGTCTCAAGATCGTCATGGCAGGTATATATTGGTTGTCCTAAGACAGTCATGGCAGGTATATCTTGATTGTCCTGAGACATTCATGGCAGGTATATATTGATTGTCCTAAGACAGTCGTAGCAGGTATATCTTGATTGTCCTAAGACAGTCATGGCAGGTATATATTGATTGTCCTAAGACAGTCGTAGCAGGTATATCTTGATTGTCCTAAGACAGTCACGGCAGGTATATATTGATTGTCCCAAGGCTGCCATAGTTTTATCTCATAAACTTATAAACTCTACACAATCCTCACAGAGGTGTCTCAAACACCATGTACGTTATCATGTTTTCATGATTGATTCAGTGTGCCGAGCTCTGGGTCTCCCCTGTCGCAGCATCACCAACTTCGCCTCTGCCCACAACACCGACACCGACCGCCTCAGTATTGACGTCCTCATGAAGGTGGACGAAGACGACAATGAAACAAATTTGAGCGATGATTCAGTGTGGTATGTAAAGAAAAAGTCAAATTAACCCGTCCCAGCTGTCTATTGCTTGTCGTTCCGTATATACCTGGTGCCCAGGCTCCGTGACGTGGCTGCGTACCCCGAGGATGTCGGATGCTCGTCTTGCTACTATTCGCTGGTCTGTCTGATACAGGCTCGAATAATAACATGTCGTAAAGATATACGAAGGGTGGTTGGAAGGTTCTGAGCCTAACTATGATGGACGGTGTTCATGAAGTATGTTGCTTATTACTTTTTTCAACACACTCCCGCTCTGATATTCACAGGCAGTTGCCAAAGCAGGGTAGCATTTGCCGTTAATGGACTGATCTTACGAGAGGTCGTCCACCGATACGGTTCCTTTGGAATCTCACCATTCCAGCTGATGGAAGAGATTTTGCCTTCTCCGGAGAAGGGGACGTAAGATGTTTCCAACGGCTTTGATTGTTGTAGGGTCTCTGGCTGACAGCAGAATAACATCTGCCATTTATGTCTGATTTTTTCGCGAGGTGGTCCACCGATGGGATTCCTTTCGAATATCCCCTTCCCAGCTGATGGAACAGACTTTGCCCTCTTCGGAGGAGAGGACGTTAGATGTTTCCACGGCTTTGACTGTTGCCTAGACTCTGGCTGATAGTGGGAAGCCCAAGACTTAGTGGACTTAAGGTGCTTACATAGGCTTCGTTCTTTCAGGAACTTCCACGTGTGGAACGAGGTTTGGATGAGTCGGCCTGAACTGAGTGACTCCAAGGAGTGGGATGGCTGGCAGGTGATTGACGCCACTCCCCAGGAGTACAGCGACGGTAGGTGGAATCTTAGGATCTTATTTTCGTGTTCATGTCATACTATGTTTACAACACGAGTGTCTACATTCGGAATTTAGGCAAGTGCAAATGACCTTAGAGGAACCAACCCTTTTTAATATCATGAATCCACCCGTGATTATAACTGTGTCATCATTGTCCAGGGGTCTACTGCTGCGGTCCTGCCCCGGTCAAGGCCATCAAAGAAGGGGAGATAAATGTTGGCAAAGACGCAGCTTTCATATTTTCTGAAGTAAATGCTGACCGCGTTGAATTCAAAGAGGATCCTTGCTCAGGGGTGATGGTGGAGATAAGCAGGAGAACCAGCAGGTAAACAGTGCCCCTTGTGATTAAAAGCAACATAATCCTTTGAGGAATCAAAAATAATCTCTGATAACAGCAGTCCATAAGAACATAAGCATGTGTTCATGGGCCGCTATCAAATATTGATCATATTAGGTATTCGCGAAAAGGTGACTGATTGTCCAAATCAGAGGTTTCAATTCACAGTAAGAGAGCATCCACCTTAAAAGATCGATGTCGGACAGAAATCTTGATAGGTTTTTGGTGTCTCTGTTTGTTGTTTTTTTCTTCCTTTTTTGTTCTCTTTTGTTTTCTTTTTTTGGGGGGAGGGGGGTTGTTTTGGTTTTGTATGTGTCCCAATACTAAACGAATTAGTTTTTATTCTACATTGAACCGCTGTACTATACCTGAGAGGCCTCCACTGAAAGAGCTGATTTTACCTCCGCTTCATCACGGTTTAATAATTCAGCGATGTCAAATATACAGGCAACATGGCTCTAAAGTTAATAGCGAATGTGTTTATCTTGTAATTGATCTATGTTTCAGCGTGGGCAAAAACATCAGTACACACATGCCGACGGGTAGGGCGTACAGGGGCGCCTCCATGAGAAGGAGGGGGTTTGAAAGCGAAAGCGAGAACCTGGAGCGTCTCGACGTCACTGACAAGTACAAGTATGAGGAAGGTTTGTTTGTTTGTTTGTTTGTTTGTTTGTTTGTTTGTTTGCTTGTTTGTTTGTTTGTTTGTTTGCTTGTTTGTTTGTTTTTGTTTAACGCCGCACTCATCAATATGTCAGCTACATGACGGCCGTCTGTAAATAATCGAGTCTCGACCAGACAAGCCCGTGATTGATATCATGCATATTGATCTACGCAATTTGGATACGGAGACATATACATCAACCAAGTCGGCTTGACCACCCGATCCCACGAGGAAGGTAATCTATCTCATGGTATAGTAGGGATCGGAGGGACACAATGTATCCTTTGTGTGGGAAGATCAGCTGGGTCTAGACATGAATAGCCAGTGTTACATATTGAATCTTAGGAGTGACATTGTCGCATTGTCCGCCATACAAAACCAAGCAAGAAATTAAAAAATTATCCAAACGCGACAACGCGAATTTCGACAAATTGTCACGTTGTCGCATTGTTCCGTTTTAATTAATATATTTTGTTTTATATATAACAAGGCGTGACATTGCAACGGTTGGTCAAAATGCGCTTTGATGATGTGGTCACTTTTGTCTGATACAATGATCTGCCCATTCCTAACGTCATGTTCATGGACTATGTACAATAAATACTTCTTCATGTGACCAAACACGTTGTACATTAATCAAGTGATTGACATGATGACCATCGACCCACGCATTTGGGATACGATGACATGCATCAACCAACTCAGCGAGTCTGACCACCCGATCCCGTTAGTCGCCTTTTACGACAAGCATGGGTTGCTGAAGACCTATTTTACCCCGGATCTTCATGGGTGATTTCAGGTAGTGAAAAAGAACGAAGTATTGTGAAGAAGGCAGAGCGAATGTTTCTCCTGGCACACTGTGGCTTTGAACACGATGATGAAGAGGAGTTGGATGTCCTTCCGCTTGAGGTAAGGACCAAATACATCTAACTTGACGCCTTCCGTCCTGTAGGTCTGTGTCAAACCAAGTTGTGCCTTTGGGACCGACTGACCTTTTAATAATCATCTGAACAATTGTCTTTTGACCCATAGCACAAGCCATTAGGCATGTTTATAGGTGGACACATTGTGCTTCAATTTTCCTAACTGATTGATGTGTGGACAACCTGATAAAGGTTCTGACTGTTGGCAAGTATCTATTCACTAACAGTCACCAGCTGTTTCCATAGTGCTATATTGCAGCACCGTGACATCACGATGGTCAGCACTCTTTATTAATATATAATAATAATAATAATAATAATAATATAGTTTATTAATGTGTCATGTGTACATAATACACCTGGCCATTACTGGCCTCAAAGACACCTAAAATTATACAATCAATAAAATACATAAATAAAACATTATAACTAATAATTATACCTTCATATGTATATAGCACACACACACACACACACACACACCCCACCCCCCACCCCCACCCACCCCACACACACCCGGCCCCCCTCCACACTCCACAGACACATACTCTCGCGCAAGTTCAACCTAGTCACCAGTTCACACACCTTAGCACCCACCACCCCACCCCCCCTCCACCCCTTCCCCCAGTTACATGTCCCAGATCAGCGAGTCACAAAAATTCAACTCGGTCACTCAATCACACGCGACATTTTATTGACACTTTTACTTTATTTCACACAGTTACGTAGGCCACAGGTCCATAATAACAATAATGGTTATATCAATAGAGATATGGTTTCCAAAACAGAGACACCTATGCTTCTGGTCAAGGATCGATTATTTACAGACCGTCATCATATAGCTGGAATATTGCTGAGTGCGGCGTTAAACAACAAACAATCAACCAATCAACAATGTTTTCCTAATTACAAGATTATAAAGAAACATAGAGTGATATTCATCTTCAATGTATGGCACGTACAGATCCTCGTAAGATTACGTTCTCAGCTCCGTTGGTTCGTTATGGTACCAGACTGTTTTAATTCTTTTGGGACCCATATCTTAACCGCGCCAAGCATTTGCAATGGTAATATATTTCAGATATGACACTGAATGATCAATACACACACTTCATCCGAAACTCCGTGGGGAATATTTCCCCATCGGTTTAATGCTGGTTGTCAGAGGCGACTATGTTTGATTGGCTTGTCTGGCTATGCGGCCATTTTTTATTATTTTTATTTCTTTACTGGCTGTGCGACCTTTTTTCTGGCTATGCGTCCTGGCTATGAGACATCTCACCTAAATGAGTTGATCAATGCTCAATATTTCAGTTACCAGTGTGCCTTGTCCAAACTTGGTACTAAATGGGCCTCTGTCATACACACAGTTGAAATATTGCTAACTGCGGCGTTAAACAACATTCACTTATTCACTTCATCCAATGACATGACGTATAACTTTTCAAACAGGACATCGAAATTGAAATTGAGGAGATGGATGACATATTTGTGGGTAACGGGTTCGAGTTCACCGTGCACGTGAAGAACAAGGGTAAAGAAGACGCGTGCTTCAAGGACATCACCCTGAGGGTGCTCTACAAGACGTACCATGACACGTGCCAGGGGGTCGCGGCCTTGAGGAAAGTCAAGGACATTCAGCTGGGCCCGAACCAGAGTACGACCAATGCATTTCAGTATAAAGTAAAACCTCAATAATGGTTCACTCTTTATTTATTTTGTACAGATAAAAGTGTTTCTGGTCTATTTCAATGTGGTTTGTGATTCGGTGTAGAATAGGTCTTCAGCGACCCATGCTTGCCTTAAAAAGGCGACTATGCTTGTCGTAAGAGACGACTAAAGGAATCGGGTGGTCAGGCTCGCTGACTTGGTGTATTGCATGTGGACGATCTTAGTTGCGTTGATCGATGCTCATGATGTCAATCACTCGATTGTCTGGTCCAGACTCGATTATTTACAGACCGCCGTCATATAGCTGGGATATTGCTGAGTGCGGCGTAAACAACAACAACAACAACAACAATGTGGTTTGTTAAAAGGATAAATTTCAGTTCATAGTAAAACCGAATGGTAATCCGAATGGGTCAATTTCTGTTCATCATGTATGGATAAACGAGTTTCTGGTCCAGTTCAATGTGGTTTGTGAGCGATACATCATGAACAATCTTGTTTTCTTTCTGTCGAGTTTGTGATTCCTTGATTAAGAGGTTCCGGTTTTAGTTTGTATGAACGTGAACAAGCAGGTGTGAAACATACGCTCATTCAGTATAACGCCCGAGTCGCTCTTCTTCAATGTTAACGTTTTATTACTGAATCTCTCTTTATATAAGTCTATCTTCCGTTTCTCTAGCCGAGACGTTGACGGTTGAAGTGGACAAGGACCGCGCCACTGCCTATCCAAACTTGGGGTTCAACTTTGAACTGAGAGCAATCGCGACCTTCTTCCACACATACAACGTCGTCAGTGAAAGCGAACTGTTCAGACTGAGGCGACCGGACCTTGAAGTGAAGGTAAGTCGTGGTTACCTCCCTTGCCGATATAGAACTCCTGGCAGCGATATTTAACGTAGTCAGTGAAAGAGACTTTTCCGACTTAGGCTATTTGGGCTGGGACGGGTAACTCGGGTACCCGGGTCGGGTGGGTACTGAGTAAGACCGGGGTACCCACAGGACTACCCGGACCCATGGTTAGTCAAGTGATATATTGTTTAATGACAAAAATTATCTAGAACTCTATACACTACAAGTCACGAATGTTTCTTTCTGACTATGCACCCATTACTCCTGACTTTTCATGTGGTTAAATAAATATATAACTTAAGTCAACTTCAGTGTATGCATGGCCAGATCGTTTAATACTCGTATCTAAATATACACATGCACAAAAGTTAAGCGCCACCCACCATATTTGTGAGCTGTTACTTTTGGCACTTAATGATGACTATTATAACGAGATGCACGATTGTGATAAGCCGTATATGTAAACTTCGTGTGATGCAAAAGTTGTCCCAAAGCAAGTTTATCTTGTGTTCCAAAAGAATATGAGCAGAAAGGAATTTTACCGAAGACCAGAAATTGAAGGATTAGAAAACATTGAAAAACGTTTTTTGTCATGTAACTGTCATGATATCAGCAGACCATATCAGGTGTCACATAGACACCCTAGGGAGTGCAGAGCAAGACAGAAACGTCAGTAACGTGTGTATGATCCGCGGACATTGACCACAGATTCAACCCTACGCCTCATACTCATTACAAGTCGTTGAATGCTTCTCTGAGGGAAACGGATCCATTCTTCATGAAGTGCGGCTTCAAGTCAAACGAGATTGTGAACTGGGGGATCACGATATCTGATTTTCCGGCCAAGAATGTCCCAGATATGCTCAATCGGGTTAAGATCCGGACTACAGGCCGGCCCAGGAAGAGTGGCAATAGCTTCTTGACGCAAATAAGCCAAAACTGCCCGAGATCTGTGTGGTCTAGCATTGTCGTCAATGTAAACAGGCCTTGTCTGAAGAGGATGGTTGTCAAAATGAGGGACTACCACTGGACGAAGAACGGCATCTTGGTATTGTTGGCCATTCAGGTTTCCACGAATTGTCAACAGCGGAAGTTTGCAGCCGAAGGAAACACAACCCCATATCATGACAGACCCCCCGCCACATGCTAAGGTCTTCTGGATGTTCCTTGGTGCAAAACGAGTGTTACGTTGCCTCCAAACACGTATTCGACCATCAACAGTTTGTAGCAGCATTCGACACTCGTCAGACCAATGGATCCTTCTCCAGTTGGCCAAGTTCCATCGACTACGGGCACGACACCATATGAGACGATTCCGCATGTGCCCCTCAGTCAGTTGAGGACGTGTTACTGGTCTTCTGGCGTTATAACCAGCCGCTCCGAGGCGACGCCAACGGTCATCAGCGAGAGTCTCTGATGGGTAATCCACTGCAGTCTTAAATCTGTTGAAGTGGCAAATGGATTTCGTCTGACTATCCTGAAAAGACGTCTATCCTCTCTGTTAGAAGTCTTTCTTGGCCTACCAGACCTATGCCTGTCATTGACATCATTGGTTTGACCATGTTTGACAATCAAACGAGTGATAACACTGTGATGACGACCAATTTGTCTTGCAATGGCCCTGCATGACATGCCAGCATTTTTCATGCCTATCACTTGCCATCTTTCAGCGTTCGTTAACTTTCTCCTCACCATGGCTGATTTTCAACCTCTATTTGAAGGGGAATCTCACACATTTGGGTTCATGAAACTATGGAAGCCTTATTCAGTCATACATCATCATATTTCGTATTTCTGATTCCCACAAGTGAAATCAAGAGATTATGAATATGGTGGCGCTTAACTTTTGTGCATGTGTATACGTTTTGCAAGTGCTATGGTTGGTAAAAAAACAAATCTCTTGAGACCCACAGTGGGTACCCGGCTAGGGTTGGGTAATGGGGTGGGTGGATACCCGGGTAGTAAATTTGGACTCGTCCAAGCCCTAGAGACTATTAAGAAGGTGTGTGTGAGTCGGGTATTTATCGGGTTTGTGTCGGGTATATGTCGGAATCGAGTCGGTATATGTCAGTATGTATTTCAGGGTCCAGAGACGTGCCGTCTGTCTGATGTCCTCAAGGTCGAGCTGATGTTCACCAACCCTCTTGACGTGGTGCTGACCGAGTGCGAGATCGACATCGAGGGGGGTCTGGAGTGCGTGGACCCCGATAAGGACACGTTCCCCGTGCCGTCAGTATTCACCTCTCTCTCACATAACATGTTCCCCGTGCCGTCAGTATTTACCTCTATCTCACATAACACGTTCACAGTGCCGTCAGTGTTCACCTCTCTCTCACATAACACGTTCACAGTGCCGTCAGTATTCACCTCTCTCTCACATAACACGTTCACAGTGCCGTCAGTGTTCACCTCTCTCTCACATAACACGTTCCCAGTGCCGTGAGTATTCACCTCTCTCTCACATAACACGTTCACAGTGCCGTCAGTGTTCACCTCTCTCTCACATAACACATTCCCCGTGCCGTCAGTATTCACCTCTCTCTCACATAACACGTTCACAGTGCCGTCAGTATTCACCTCTCTCTCACATAACACGTTCACAGTGCCGTCAGTATTCACCTCTCTCTCACATAACACGTTCACAGTGCCGTCAGTGTTCACCTCTCTCTCACTAAACACGTTCCCCGTGCCGTCAGTATTCACCTCTCTCTCTCACTTAAGGCGTTTCCCGTGCCGTCAATATTCACCCCTCTCTCACTTAACATGTTCCTCGTGCCGTCAGTATTCACCTCTCTCTCACATAACACGTTCACAGTGCCGTCAGTGTTCACCTCTCTCTCACTAAACACGTTCCCCGTGCCGTCAGTATTCACCTCTCTCTCACATAACACGTTCCCCGTGCCGTCAGTGTTCACCTCTCTCTCACTAAACACGTTCCCCGTGCCGTCAGTATTCACCTCTCTCTCACTAAACACGTTCCCTGTGACATCAGTATTCACCTCTCTCTCACTTAACACGTTCCCAGTGCCGTCGGTATTCTCCTCTCTCTCACATAACACGTTCCCCATGCCATAAGTATTCACCTCTCTCTCACATAACACGTTCCCCTTTCAATAAGTATTCACCTCTCTCTCACATAACACGTTCCCAGTACCGTCGGTATTCTCCCCTCTCTCACATAACACGTTCCCCGTGACATCAGTATTCACCTCTCTATTACATAACACGTTCCCAGTGCCGTCAGTATTCACCTCTCTCTCGAATAACACGTTCCCCGTGTCATAAGTATTCACCTCTCTCTCACATAACACGTTCCCAGTACCGTCGGTATTCTCCCCTCTCTCACATAACACGTTCCCCGTGACATCAGTATTCAACTCTCTCTCACATAACACGTTCCCCGTGGCGTCAGTACTCACCTCTCTCTCACTAAACACTTCCCCCGTGCCGCCAGTACTCACCTCTCTCTCACTAAACACGTTCCCCGTGCCGTCAGTATTCACCTCTCTCTCACATAACACGTTCCCCGTGCCGTCAGTATTCACCTCTCTCTCACATAACACGTTCCCCGTACCGTTAGTATTCACCTCTCTCTCACATAACACGTTCCCCGTGCTGTCAGTATTCACCTCTCTCTCACATAACACGTTTCCCGTGCCGTCGGTATTCTCCCCTCTCTCACATAACACGTTCCCCGTGCCGTCAGTATTCACCTCTCTCTCACTAAACACGTTCCCCGTGCCGTCAGTGTTCACCTCTCTCTCACACAACACGTTCCCCGTGCCGTCAGTATTCACCTCTCTCTCACACAACACGTTCCCCGTGCCGTCAGTATTCACCTCTCTCTCACACAACACGTTCCCCGTGCCGTCAGTATTCACCTCTCTCTCTCACACAACACGTTCCCCGTGCCGTTAGTATTTACCTTTCTCACATAACACGTTCCCAGTGCCAGCAGTACTCATACCTCTGACATTTGGTTCATCTACGGTGATGTATAGTTCACCAACATCTCCAAATAACGTCTACGGTAACATTTGGTTCACCAACATCTCCACATAACGTATGCGCTATCATCTGGTTTACAAACATCTCTACATAACGTCTACAGTATATATAACTGTTCACAAATATCCACATAACGTCTACCATAACATTTGGTTCACAAACATCTCAAAATAACGTCTACGGTAATGTTTGGTTCAAATGACTCCGCAACATTCACCATTTTGTCTCACACCTACTGAGACTTGTCAAACAGAATCTCATGGTTCGATATTCCAGGGATATACAACCGAAGGGGACGTGGAGCCGCACCCTGACCATGAAGCCACACCGTCACCCCCGGGGAAGCAAGGACAGAGACATCAGCATCGGCTTCGACTCCAAACAGTTGTCGGACATCATAGGCTACTATGCTGTGGAAATCAAGTCGTAGCTGACACGCTCACAGAAACATTTCTCCAAGCCTTAGTCTGTCGCTGTCTGTGATTCCTGAAACCTGACTCAACCAATATGAAATCTTTCTATGACAACTGCCTGCGTGGCACATCCTTGGGAGTCCTCACTCCCACCCTTCCAATAATGTATTATATAAGACCGGATCAGCTGTCTGTATGTTGTGAGAGTCTAACTCAAGTTATGCGTCGTATTATATTTCACATCAAATTGTCATAGGTTATGTTTTATCATGACATCAGAACATACGTACCTCGATTTGTACTTTTTACAATTGGCTCATACAAAAACTATACCAGGTATATGCTTCTCGTCTATATTAATTGATGTTTTTATCAAACTAAACTGAATACAATCACTGTTCAAGTTTTCATCTCGACGCGTATAATCCAGATTGATTAAGATAGTTAAATGTAAGTTTATCTGTCAAAATTGGGATTTGAGCCCCGGGTAAGACTGTCAGTATGTGCGATGCACGTCGCGTCGCGTCGCGCCGCGTCAATGAAAAAATGTATGTTTCTTGCTGAAATGTTTTTTACGTATTCAAGTGCCCTTCTAAAGGCTTATTTGTTTTCTACAGTTTTGAAATAAGTTATTTTATTAACAATATTTATGATATGCTATGCTCAAAGTATGCAATATTTTCACATTGTTGCCTGTTGAATATGTAACCTACCACCCAGCTCTATTCATAAAGTATAAACGTATATGTATATGAGTGATAAATTCTATCTCAGCACACTCGATTGATGGACAATGTGATACATTTATTGGCGCAATGTGTGTCCCCGTGAGTTATGATATATATCTAGCAGTATCGGCGCATAGGGCATGATGACCACCACAAGCGGAAATGAGGTACATCCTCGATTTTCCAGTGTATCACATTTCCATTCTATAACGATGAATACCCCGAGCCCAAAAGTTACCATCGCGACATTTGAAGTCCAATTCGGGATGGTGGGGTAGCCTAGTGGTTAAAGCGTTCGCTCGACACGCCGAAGACTCGGGTTCGAAATCCCACATGGGTACAGTGTGTGAAGTCCATTTATGATGTCCCCGCCGCAATATTTTGCTAAATGCGCCGTAAAACCGTGCTCAATCACTCGCTCATTAAGTCCGAATGACAACACGATGCTAAAAATCACCGTCTACTCAAACTACACCCACGGCGAGAGAAATTCTGTGCGAAGGTACTGATAAGAGTCAGTGAGTGAAATGGGCTTCACACTGCTTTTGGCAATATTCCAGCAATATCATGGCGGGGGACACCCTAAATCTGCTTCACGTATTGTACCCTAACTGATTAGAGGTCGTCAGTTCCGAAGCTACAACTGTACAGAAAAATATATACGTTACGTTAGTCTATTACTAAACATTCTTTATACACTGTAGGTCTGTGTACGATAATAAACAACATTAGAAGAGTCCAGGGTACTTATCCTAATAGAATGGAGATATATGACACTGGACAAACGAGGATGGGTAAGATACATAATGTGACTATGGCTGTATTTTACAGCCAGTAGTTAATGGATTTCCCTTGGGAGCATATTATCTTCTAGTACGTTTATCAAAATATTTCCCTTAGTAACATATCGACATTTATCTTATAAATTTTGGTAGCAACACCTTCATGTGAGTTTTTTTTTCTTAAAATGATATATCCTATCAAAGCAATAAATAGTACTTCTTTACTGTTTCTGTGGTAGTATTAATGTTACAAGTGAAATTTCACTGTTCTGATAAACTTTAACGCTTTTACGTCATTGTTCAAAAACGCGTTATTCCTCAAAATGTTCACAAACACAATAAAGCTACAAAAATGATTACTTGTTTGGACAAGGATAGGTTTGTGTGGGATATACAATCTGAAATGGGATACTCTCTCCAGAAAAAAATTCTTTTTTAATTTATAATAGTTTGGAATATAATAACATAAGCCCCTTTAAAGGAAGAAATTCAGCACTAACAATTCTATATAAGAGAACATTCATGTTTCCTGTTGTTCATCCGAAGAACAAATAATCTGCTTGCTGTGGCCTTCATAGTTTTACCATGGCAACGGATGTGTTTATAGGTTGATGATCTCGTCTTGTCTCTCTTGTGATACCATATTTGGGCAGATACGATATATTATATATTTTCAGGTTATAGTATTTTATAGCTCTGTTTCACAATCCATATACATCTTTGTACTTGTTAATAAAACACTTTCAGTTTGAAAAGAATTTTGTTTTTATATGACTTCCTGCAGTCCACATACAGAATATATGAAGATTACGTACAGGATATGTCAAATTCACATACAGGATTCATCAGCTACCCATGCTTGCCATAAAAAGGTGGTTATGCTTGTCGTGAGAGGCGACTAACGAGGTCAGACTCGCTGACTTGGTTGATGCATGTCATCGATCCCATTTGCGTAGAACGATGCTCATGATGTCAATCACTGGATTGTCTTGTCCAGACTCGCTTATTTACACACCGCCGTCATATAGCTGGAGTATTGCTGAGTGCGGCGTCAAACAACAAACATACAAACGTTAATATTTCACCGACATGGGGCAATGTCCCAGCCCCATTCGTAACCACTCGCCCCTTTCCGTCCCCCTATCGATGAATGTTATGTGCGAAATTACGACATACCAATCAGAATGCGCGCATGACTTCAAGTTCTTCGTCAAAGAATCCCTCAGAAATAATTTTTGATTTTACATATCTTGCATCTAAAATATACCCAAGACACAGTTACATTTGTTCAATCATACTGTATAATTCCGCATGTCCCGATGTGCTTTAAATTGCATCTGAAATATATATAATATATGGGGAAATACATGTCAACCATCACGCAACGAGTTGACAGTTGTTTTGGGTATGCCCGTTTGCGCTTAGACTGAACCCGGTCGCAAAAATGGCCATGATAGGAGCACGAGTCGCTATTCGGCTTGTCCCGGAATAACACGAGTTGGTCACGAATGGTCCCAGTCCCTCACAGAACATCGCCGTCATCCAGACAGCAGCAGGACAGTGGAGCCAAGTCTCTCCTTACATTAATGTAACGTATAACTAACACCACATATGGATGGCACATTACTGATCCGGCGATATACACAAGCTCGATAAGATCAGGCAATGGATGTGTGGCCGATGTTGCTGGTCGCGGCAGCTGGTGCTGGCACCACACATAATGCACCAATCACACCACCAGCGTTTACTGTTTTGTCGAGGTGTAATGTTTGAAAGGCTTTCTATTAGCTGACAGTGAATTGTAATAAAACAAAATTATGGATGACTTTAGTACGTTATTTTGAAGACGTTGTCGTAAAATTGATTTGTGTATAACTGTGGACTGTGAATGATAACCATGGCCTGGTGATCCACAAACCGCCGATTTCTTCGAAGGGAAGTTATTAAAGATTCATCCCGTAGGGTGCGATGATTCACAATGAGCCTCATCACACATTGTAACCATCCGCAGTCGTCGGTTCAAAGGACATGCATGATGTACTGGGAATCTGTTCCGTTCCTTGATACCCCGAATGAGTGAGTGAGTGAGTGAGGATCTTACCCGGATCTTCACAGAGGATAGCGACCCGTGAAGATCCGGGGCAGAAAAGGTCTTCAGCAACCCATGCTTGCCGTAAAAAGGTGACTACGCTTGTTGTAAAAGGCGACTAACGGGATCGGGTGGTCAGGCTTGCTGACTTGGTTTATACATGTCATCGGTCCCAATTGCGTGGATCGATGCTCATGGTATTAATCGCTGGATTGTCTGGTCCAGACTCGATTATTTACAGACCGCCGTCATATAGCTGAAATATTGCTGAGTGCGGCGTTAAACAACAAACCAGCCAGCCAATCAACAGAGGATAGCCAGCCTAGATTTTCTGCCGAAACAGATTCCATTTGGGGTAAGGGGCCAAATATCAAAACAAGCATTTGTCGTATTGTCGCCCTTTGGTAAAAGTAAAAACTATTATTCAAAGTGCGACAATGCGATAAATGGCAAAAGGTATCCTTGTCGCATTCTGGGATTCATATTTTTCTCAAACTACAGACGTTCGCCTTGGTCTGGTGGTAGAGCATCCGTCCAGAGCGCTGAAGGTTCCGGGTTCGATCCCAGGCCGCGTCATACGTAGAGACGTTAGAATATGGTACTTGTTGTTACAAACGTCTTGAACGCGACGTTAAACCCCATTTCACCTAACTGACTATGAAGACACACATCAATCAGTTTACGCCTTATGCCAGCCAGTATTTAACGTATGGCTCATAACTATATATTCACTACTAGACTAGTATGAATACGTATGCTATGAATATCAATGAACAAGTATATGTAGTGCCATAAAATTCGAAGTTGACTCATGCATCCGGGACACGCGCGGCCACGTGCCCGGAATATGTGTTATCCATCACATCCACACAGGCCGCCATATTAACCAGAAGGTAAGAGTTTAGATATTAACGTTTGCTTGAAAACGGAGCTGAAAGTAGACTTCAACTCGCGGCAACACAATCTGGCGCTACTTCTTGAAAAACATCAAACCTGGTATGTAGGCAGAGATCGAGATAACTGATCATCTCGGGGCTGCTGTTTGATTTTGGCAGACTATAGGAAATTTGCATCTCCTGTCCAGTCTAATATTATATGTTCAACTTACTTCACCTAGTTTACTGTCAAATTTGTGAAGTTTGCATTCAGTTTTTTATGTTTAATTTAGTTGGTTAAAAATCATGTTTATTTTATTTTATTTGAAGTTGATTTTAACAGTAAAGCTAAGCATTCGTGTGTGACCATGCATTTGCTCATACCACGATTCATTTTACTGCTGACTTGAGAAGAAAGCCCAAACTGAAGCAGTTTGATGGACGTGTACCACTTTAGTGAAACCCACGAGCATGGGCATGGTGCTTACAAACCTAAACCGGTGAATCGGTTATTCGAACCCATGATGATAGCGTTTTTGGCTGAGCAAAGGGATACAACTGAGTGACGAGCACCAATGTTAATTTTGAACGCAAAACATTCTGCATGGATGGTTTCAAATGGAAATGTTTTCACGGCAATCCTCCCTGGCAATAGCAGCGATACGTATCACGCACTACAATGAAACTTCTTTAATCTGGACGTACCCATACTAGTGAAACGTCCGTATAAAAACAGTCCGGGTTTACAACCCATTGATACAGCACAATGCACATAGTGTATAACAGCAGTGAAGATCCGGGTTAGAATAGGTCTTCAGCAACCTATGCTTGTTGTAAGAGGCGACTAACGGGATCGGATGGTCAGACTCGCTGACTTGGTTGATGCATGTCATCGTATCCCATTTGCGTAGATCGATGCTCATTATGTCAATCACTGGATTGTTTGGTTTAGATATGAGTATTTACAGATCGTCGTCACATAGCTAAAATAGAGCTGAGTGCGGCGTTAAAAAAAAACAAGAAAAAAAACATAGTTGGTATAAATGCAGCATGATGTATCAATGCACACGTTAGCATCAGCAAGGGCGTTTTGGACAGCGGGGTTTTACTGTATTTCTTCACTACAAGTATTTGTATTTGTTGCGGACTGTAGGCATATTAATTTGTTATCTGGTACATATTACACTGTGACGATTATCATTCTGGCTACGAACGAAGCCATGGTTGGGTTACCGTCAAGAATACAATCATGCTGTCCCGTTACGATGTGACTAGGGAAGAGCGTTAAAGCAAGCAAAATCATTCACGCCTGCAATATTTATTCAGCTTCCCTAGTTGCGGGAGGTGAGGGACGGGGATTGGAGGCCCTGTAACCTGAGCCCCATTTCGCCGTACATCACGCTTCGTCGTGCCAGGATCTGCTGTACCAGATTCGCCCCGATTATGACCCTTGATCTGTCTGCACCATACCCGTGTTCATATGTAAACACCAAACAATTATTTTCCCTCAATAAGCTGACAAATCTAGTTATAACTGACGTATTAGTTGAACCCAACTCACTCGCTCATCCCTTCTAAAGGTATTCTTGAGGTTGCAATTGACGCCGACGGGAGTAAAGGCCGCCGCCATGTTCAGACGGTACGGAGGGAACACGCCGCGCACGTCTACCAGCAGACCACGGTTCGTACTGAATTATTTCTATGTGAATAAATTCGGGAAAACCTTCACAAAAAGGTTCTGCATCGTATAGGATTGGAGGGTTGGTAGGTTTTCATAAAATATCTGAAGTTTGAGAAAACTCACTTTTTTATTTAAGTTTTTGGATTGTATTTAAATCAATTTATAAATCAACTTAACTTTACAAAGTAGACAAATTTGGACTTAAACAAATAACTACAAGGTGAGCTGACTTAGTAGACAATGCTGCTATGCAAGTGAGTGAGTGAGTGAGTTTGGTTTTACGCCGCTTTTAGCAATATTCCAGCAATATCACGGCTGGGGTCACCAGAAATGGGCTTCACGCATTGTACCCATGTCGGGAATCGAACCCGGGTCTTCGGCGTGACGAGCGAACGCTTTAACCACTAGGCTACCCGACCGCCCCTGCTATGCAAGTTTGGGACCTAGTAAACTTTCCCAGATGAGTTCCGTATGGAATAACGTGTTCTGTGGGGTTGTTGGGTCTGTGTTGATTGTTTATGGCAAGGCTTCTGCGACAAGTATATTGTGTGGATAGGGTGTTTATATAATTGCTGCGCTTGTACGCCCGGTACAATTGCTTGAGACAGTAAGATATCACCGGACGTCATCAAACACTCGATTTACTATTTAAGCTGATGTTATTGGAGATGTTGTTTGAGGCTTTATATGCATCTACTCTTCAAGAACACATTTCTTGCATTAAAACGTGTTTATATCCAGTCAATATTCTCCGACCACCCTACATGTGAAGCGCGTCTGTTTTCAGAGTGATCCCGAGTGACGACAGTGTCTACCCCACCTACTCCTATGGACGACGTCGAGCTCGAGTGTGGGACCGTGACAGAGTCTTTTGGGGGCCAAACGACATCAGGCTCTACTGCGGTATATCTCACCCTGCTAAAACAACAAAGCATAATATAAAAAGCGTAATAAAAAATCACATTTTGTTACATGACGGCGGAGAGACTTGGCTCCACTGTCCTGCTGCTGTCTGGATGATGGCGATGTTCTGTGGGGGGCTGGGACAGTGCCCCTGTCGGTGGAGACCCGTGAAGATTCCGGGGTAGAATAGGTCTTCAGCAACCCATACTTGCCGTAAAAGGCGACTATGCTTGTCGTAAAAGGCGACTAACGGGATCGGGTGGTCAGACTCGCTGACTTGGTTGATGCATGTCATTGGTCCCAATCGCGTGGATCGATGCGCATGATGTCAATCACTGGATTGTCTGGTGCAGACTCGATTATTTACAGACCGCCGTCATATAGCTGGAATATTGCTGAGTGCGGCGTTATACAACCAACCAACCAACCAACCCCTGTCGGTGGAATATTAACGTTTGTATGTTTGTTGTTTGACGCCGCGCTCAGCAATACTCCAGCTATATCACGGTGGTGTGTAAATAATCGAGTCTGGACCAGACAATCTAGTGGTTGATATCATGAGCATCAATCCACGCAACTTGGATACAATGACAAACATCAACCAAGTCAGCGAGCCAGACCACTCGATCCCGTTAGTCGCCTCTTACGACGAGCATGGGTTGCTGAAGACCTATTCTAACCCGAATTATCTGCCCAAACTAATTCTATTGGCCGTAAAAGGCAAAACGGTGATGGAGATTAAATGAATGAATCACTGAAAATCAGTGATGACACCAGGCGTTCGCGAAAACGGTAAACATGTCCTGCTCTACCTGTAGCACTCGCCACAGTTTGCATGAAGAAGTGTTTGTTTGTTTCCTAATACCGCACTCAGCAATACTCCTGCCATACGACGGCCTGTAAACAACTGAGTCTTGACCAGACAATCCAATGAAAGCTAGGGTAAACGTGAGCTGTTCCCACACATCTTACAATGTTCATAAAAGTTATCCTAGCGTTACGACAGTTGTATGTCAATGTTACGTATAGTATGGGACTAACGATTGTCGTTGTGCTAAGATCGCTTTGACATTTTTGGGGTAAATCTATCTTTATCATTAATACCGGCGAGCAAATGTGTTTGACAATTTTATTCCTATGAATGTCCCATGATTTGTTGCCCATTTTTCACGGGCAGAGGGAAGAGGGAAGAGGTCTTCAGCATCCTATGCTTGTCCTAAGAGTCGACTAACAGGATCGGGTGGTCAGGCTCGCTGACTTGGTTGGTGCAAGTCATCGTATCCCAACTGCGTAGATCGATGCTCATGATGTAAATCACTGGAATGTCTGGCCCAGGCTCGAATATTTTCAGACCGCCGTCATACGCTGGTATACGCTGAATGTGGCTTTAAACAACAAACAAACAAAACACTCCAGTTATAGATATAAATGTTTCATGTATAACATCACACTTTGAGTGAGCAGATAAACTCAATGGTGCCTGACAGACTTGAATCGAACTTTCGAGAAGAACTCGCTAGGACCGCCATTTTGCCTGATGCCAGTACCCGTTAATCCTTGCTTGAACCCCTTAATGCCAAGCGCCAGACAGGGTAACAACAAGTACCACAATTTAACGTCTTTTGGTATGACGCGGCCGGGGATCGAACCCCGGACCTTCCGCTCTCCGGGCGGACGCTCTACCACTAGACCACGGAGGCGGTCAGATTTTGAAGTAATGACTGTCAATGTTGTCTAGATTCTGATGAGGACGAGAACGAGGAGGAATGTATCTCCGAAGTGGTTGCCCCCCTGCTCGAGACTAAGCTGCACGTGACGTACGTGGACCTGCACGTGCCGGACAACACAGCTGCCCATCACACTGACCGCTATGAGTGTACCGGAGACAGGGTCAGTGACGGCACGGAGCACAAGGCACGGCTTGTCCTCCGTCGAGGGCAGGAGTTCAAGATGACCCTTCACTTCGACAGACCTTACGATATTCCTAAGAACGATATCACGCTTACCTTTCATTTGGGTATGTACCAAGCCTGGAATGAACCCTAAAGGTCAAAAGATATTCTCAAAACATATTTACGAGGTGTTTCATTTTATGTTTTACAAACACAAGAGAATGAAAAATGTAGACCCGTCATAGTTACTTTAGTGAGTGAGAGAGTGAGTGAGTATGGTTTTACGCCGCTTTTAGCAATATTCCAGTAATATCACGGAAGGGGGACACCAGAAATGGGCTTCTCACATTTACCCATGTCGGGAATCGAACCCGGGTCTTCGGCGTGACGATCGAACGCTTTAACCACTAGGCTACCCGACCGCCCAGTTACTTTAGTAATGTCAGTTAGGCAGTGGTTAGAACGTCTCATCCGACTGAAATTCTGATTTGGAAGGATTTATGAAGGTAATTATTTGTGCCAAAAGCAAAATTGATTTGAAACACTCGTCTCTTAGTAGAGACAAGTTAGGTCAGTGGGTTGTGCTTGTTGGGTTAAAAAGTGGGTTCGATTTTCGCTTGGTGATTTATGAGGCCCACGATTATTGATTGATTAAACACTGTCGTCTTTTAGTAGTGGACAAAAAGTTAGGCAGTGATATAATTTGCTTTGAGTTTTAGATGGATTAATTTATTATTGGTGTCTCAAGTTAATTGCTTGAAACGGGATTAAAACAATTCTCTTCCACTCACTCTATTAATGTTACAGAGGGCAGCTACAAGGCAGCTCGGACCACCAGCGCCACCATCAAGGTGGACGAGTCTGGATACACTAGCTTCGACAAGAAGACGTGGGGCGCCTCCGTGGTTCGACAGGCGGACAAATCTCTGACGCTGTCCGTATTCGCGCCTGCTTACATCCCTGTTGGGGAGTGGGACTTCAGTGTGACTACCATCGTTGATGTCGAGGACGGTGAAGATCTCATCTGGGAGTACAAGCACAACGAACAAATTTATATCATCTTCAACCCTTGGTGCAAAGGTACACGTTTGAGAAGCAGCATTGGGTTGATCAACACATCGCGAGCTTAACACTGCCACCATTCTTTAATTTGTGTATACAAAGATAGTCTGTATGTAAAATCTGTTTTGTGTTGTGGTCAGTTTGTACGCCAGAGTTTTGTGTATCCATAAACGACTCATCACAATCCGGATTGCTTAAGCAAACTATTTTGGTATGATCTGATTCAGAGGCCTGGAACAACTCTTAGTTCGATTATTATATGCGTATTGAATACGGTAAAATGGTCCCAATTTGCTTAAGCGCTAGTGCAGATTATTGAGAAACTTTGAGTGCTGAAAGATTCTGAACCTAACTATGGTTTACTGCGTTGATGGAGTTGTTTGCTGATTATTTTTTAACATAATCCGCTCCAAGGTCCACACACTTCTGGCAGCGATGCTGGGGTGCCTGGATCCCACTGATGTAGAAGGCTTCCCCTTTGACCTGTACGTCATTGCCATTTCCACAATCTTGCCAGACAGTTCTTTCTTCAAATGTGGGAAGAGCAGGCAAATCTGAAGAATACGAAGGATGTTCAATGCGTTCAAAGTCAGTCATGCATTGTACTTGGAGTGGATTTTCTACGACGTTTAGCCTTGCTATTCTGTCTGTTGCCGCAGCAGATTAGCGTAGTATTGTCCATTAATTCATTACCTGTCGGGAGGTAGTCCACCTGTAGGCTTCCTTGGGAATCCTAGAAACCCGAAGCTATTACTTTGTCAGTTCATGTAACAGACTTTGCCTTCCCTTGCCTTCCACTGCTTTGACTGTTGTCTCCCATTGATAATTTAGAACCCAAGACTCATCCATAGTTACAAATCGTTAAAAAAAAACAGCTGGATCTGCTTCTCACGAGATGTGATGAACGTAGTACGTTTCTCATCAGGAGTCTGAAGACCTGGAACCAAGTGTGCTGAAAACTGTCATGCCCAGTTCTCAAAAATCTCATTAGAGAAGCCCACTGTATTGGTTATGTAACGTGTGGCGAGTCGCCGATTATCCATAATAAATCTTCAATGCCCTCGCTTCCCCTCCGCTGCCCGCCTCTTAACAGTGTCAAAGAAGCGTTATCTCTCATTTTGAAACCATGTACACATGGATGGTTGATGGTGCTAGCCCATTTGCCTGGAGATGCTTGATGACAGGGTGGAACCAATTTTGTCCTTCTACAGAGAATACATAATCAATTTGGTGCTTGCAGAAATGTGCTGTCTGGTTGTGTACTCGGTTCATATGCAGCCTGTGAGCATGGAATATATCGTACTTAATACATGCAAACAGTTAGGTATGTACTGTACATGCTTTGTAGTTAGGTTCAGAATGTTTTAGCCACCCATCGTCAACCTAAACCGACTCAGACACAACGCTCAGTCGTCATTGAAGAGCAACTGAACAACAACATTTGCATCGTGGTTCGTGATGTAAGTGAGCCCTCAGTATCCACCCTCTGCTCTATTACAGATGACTGGGTGTACCTTGAACATGAGGACTGGATGAAAGAGGCTCTTCTCAGTGACTCGGGAGTGTTGTATTTTGGCAGCCCATCAAGAGTCGGTGCCCGTCCTTGGTGTTTCGGTCAGGTAAGACAGCTACAGTGTGCTGGCCGGTCTGTTTTTTTATTGCCCCGGATTCTATCCGAAGAGACATCAAACTCAGTTAATCTGAAATATATTAACCTCAACTTAAATATTCAAAATGGTATGGGGCGCTGGGGTAGCCTAGAGAACTAAACGTTCGTTCGTCACGCCGAAGACCTGGGTTTGATGCCCTACATGGCATATTGCTAAAAGCGGCATAAAAACATACTCACTCACTCAAAAGTGTATAGTTATAGAGAAAACTACCAGATTATGATATATGTAAAGAACCCAACCAATACCGAAGTTTTGTTTTGATCTTTAGCCCAATTAATTACCAGTAGAGTTTAAATGTATAAAGAGAAAAATGAAAAAAATTCAAATATTCACAGTATCATAAATATGAGCCTGAACACAATTAACTACCTTTGCCTCCGAGTATACTCTAAGTACACGACCCATGAAGATCCTAGGTAGGTCTTCAGCAACTCATGCTTGCCGTAAAAGCCGACTATGCTTGTCGTAAGAGGCGACTGAAGAGATTGGGTCGCTGACTTTTGTTGATGCAAATCATCGCATCCCAAATGCATGGATCGATGCTCATGATGTCAATCAGTGGATTGTCTGGTCCAGACTCGATTATTTACAGACCGCCATCATATAGCTGGAATATTGCTGAGTGCGGCGTTAAACAACACAAAACAAACTCTGGGTATGCACATATCCAACGATGACCTTTCCGTGAGTTCCAAACTTGCAATGGGTACCAGCCATTCTCTGTCTTGCGTTACGTCGCTTTGTGGCTGAAACAATGCCGATGCGACGTTAAATTTTAACTCACTCACAAACTCACTGTCTTGCGTTACAGTTTGATGACGGTATACTAGATGCTGCCCTCCATCTCATCAGGAAGGGCTTCGGCTACGAGGCTTCATCTGCCATGGGAGACGCTGCTAAGGTGGCGAGAATCCTGGCCAAGCTGGTGAGTGTGGTGTCCAAGGTTACGGCAGGAATCTGCTAATGGATCTTCTTGTACATACGACAATAGCTGAGTTCCATGCGTAAGAAAGAGGTACAAGCTTCCTCGGCATGCGTAAGGTATAAATGCAAGCCAATGTAAGCTATTTTTACTTTATATCTTTCCAATCTATTTCTGACTCCGGCACAAAATACAGTGCGTAATATAATTTTGGTTCCTTTCAAGTTGTTATTAGCGTTGACGTCATGCGCAGTTAAAATCTCCCTTATTCACCCTGGTCATCAATGACCACCCGTTATGTTCTCAGGTGAACGCCCCTGACGATGACGGCGTGGTGATGGGCAACTGGACAGGGGAGTACGAAGGGGGGACATCACCCTCCACTTGGGTGGGCAGCGTGAAGATTCTGCGGGAGTACATGTCTACAGCTAAGCCTGTCAAGTTCGGACAGTGCTGGGTGTTTGCTGGTGTTCTTACAACAGGTAAAATTCGTGATTAATCGGGTTGAATTTCTTTGCGTTGTTACTGAGCTTTACCGCTGCTTCAACCACTATCCATTCATCACGGCGTGTCAGTTAAAGGTGAAGATAAGCAAAACAGAGTGACTGATATCATCTTTACCGCTTCAGTGATAGTCATGACCAACAGCAGGGTATGCTGCCGACGATCCTAATCGATGACACCCTTCGATTCGAACCGAAAACCAGCGGATCTTGGTTTGTCTAGTGTGCAGTGAAAAGCGGCGTCTCAGTTCACCCGTGAAGATTCCGGGGTATAATAGGTCTTCAGCAACCCATGCTTGCCGTAAAATGCGACTATGCTTGTCGTAAGAGGCGACTAACGGGATGGGGTGGCCAGGCTCGCTGACTTGGTTGATACATGTCATCGATCCCAATTGCGTGGATCGATGCTCATGATATTAATCACTGGATTGTCTGGTCCAGACTCGATTATTTACAGACCGCCGTCATATAGCTGGAATATTGCTGAGTGCGGCGTTAAACAACAAACCAACCAACCAAATCAAATAGCTGGAATATTGCTGAGAGCAGCGTTAAATTAATCAAGAAGAAAAAACAATTTGGCGGCTGAAGTTAAGCATATTTCTGTCAACGCTTACGACTGACTTGTGGTCTGTTTAAGTGTGCCGGGCGTTGGGCTTGCCGTGTCGTAACATCACAAACTTCGCCTCTGCTCACAACACCGACGCCGACCACCTCAGCATCGACAGGATCAATGTCAAGGACGAGAACGGCGAATGGACAGACATCTCCAACGACTCCGTGTGGTACGTACGTTGGGCAGGGAGTAAGGGTGACTGTCACGTCAAGTGATGATTGGTCGACTATAGCTAGTGTCCTCTGTCTTTCGTGTCAAACAAACTCAGCACAACCCTAGCTCCAACTGAGAGGGGACCCCAGCAATCCTGCCTTTCCATCATTTTACCCCATGTTTCCACATCTTTGAGGAAGGCGACTATGCTTGTCGTAAAAGGCGACTATGCTTGTCGTAAAAGGCGACTATGCTTGTCGTAAAAGGCGACTATGCTTGTCGTAAAAGGCGACTAACGGTATCTTGGGTGGTCAGCCTCGCTGACTTGGTTGATGCAGGTCATCGATCCCAATTGCGTGGATCAATGCTCATGATATCAATCACTGGATTATCTGGTCGAGACTCGATTATTTTACAGACCGCCGTCATATAGCTGTAATATTGCTGAGTGTGGCGTAAAACAACAAACCAACCAACCAACATCTTTGAGGATGTATCTAAGATGTCATGTCTCCTCAGTTGCCCTTATCTGTGAAATTAATGATGCGTCCGTCATCTGCTATCGTTTCAGCCAATATATAAAATTGTTTCATGAATTCGTAATTCAGGAATTTCCATGTGTGGAACGAGGTGTGGATGAGACGACCAGATCTCAGCGACACCAACCATTACGACGGCTGGCAGGTGATCGACGCCACGCCACAAGAGACAAGCTACGACGGTAGGTTATTCTGCTTAACCTGCAGCCATCTCGATATACCTACATTATTCACAGAAGCCATTTTTTTTCAGTTCGAGCCCAGAGTCGTCCCAGATATGATTGTTGGTGAGCCAACACCGCCCCCACGCTCGGAAGTCACCAAAGTACAGATGGGGAGTCTTTATCTGGATAGATTGCTTACTGCGGCGTTAAACAAAATTTACATTTGGAGTTATTTTAGCGCCATGATTGTTGTACATGAACGATGATAGCATCGTTGAGGTCGTTGTTGGTAACGCCGCAGTTAGTATTATTGTTTACCACTAAGGCACGTAAGTAATGGAAACTGGGCAAGGCAAGCCAGTGACTGTAAGCATGAGAAACGTTCCGCGCCATCGGACAAGTTGACGCTTAATCAGCCAAGTCACGGAGCCATGCGGGGAATCAGATCCATTTTTGCTCTACCCTCACTACAAGCATAGGTTATTGACGGTATCCTTATTGAGTGAGTATGCCACAAGTCTATTAAATCTAGCATTTCTGTAGTGTATTTCATGGTGTTCGTCCTGATTCTCAGGGGTGTTCACGTGTGGCCCGTGTCCAGTGAGGGCCATCAAGGAGGGTGACATCAACGTGGGATCCGACGGTGCCTTCATCTTCTGCGAGGTGAACGCCGACACGGTGGAATGGACGAAGGACGAGAAGACGGGCATGCTGGTGGAGACGAAGCGCATCCCCAACAGGTATAGTACTGAAGGGATGGGATGCAGTACTGAAGGGATGGGATGCTGTAGTGAAGGGATAGGGTGCAGTACTGGAGGGGTGGGGTGCAGTACTGGAGGGGTGGGTGCAGTACTGGAGGGGTGGGGTGCAGTACTGGAGGGATGGGATGCAGTACTGAAGGGATGGGATGCAGTATGGGAGGGGTGGGGTGCAGTACTGGAGGGATAGGGTGCAGTACTGGAGGGGTGGGGTGCAGTACTGAAGGGATGGGATGCAGTACTGAAGGGATGGGATGCTGTAGTGAAGGGATAGGGTGCAGTACTGGAGGGGTGGGGTGCAGTACTGGAGGGGTGGGTGCAGTACTGGAGGGGTGGGGTGGGGTGCAGTACTGGAGGGGTGGGTGCAGTACTGGAGGGATGGGATGCAGTACTGAAGGGATGGGACGCAGTATGGGAGGGGTGGGGTGCAGTACTGGAGGGATGGGGTGCAGTACTGGAGGGGTGGGGTGCAGTACTGGAGGAGTGGGGTGCAGTACTGGAGGGATGGGATGCAGTACTGAAGGGATGGGATGCTGTAGTGAAGGGATAGGGTGCAGTACTGGAGGGGTGGGGTGCAGTACTGGAGGGATGGGTGCAGTACTGGAGGGGTGGGGTGCAGTACTGGAGGGGTGGGGTGCAGTACTGGAGGGATGGGATGCAGTACTGAAGGGATGGGATGCAGTATGGGAGGGCCGGGGTGCAGTACTGGAGGGATGGGGTGCAGTACTGGAGGGGTGGGGTGCAGTACTGAAGGGATGGGATGCAGTACTGAAGGGATGGGATGCTGTAGTGAAGGGATAGGGTGCAGTACTGGAGGGGTGGGGTGCAGTACTGGAGGGGTGGGTGCAGTACTGGAGGGGTGGGGTGCAGTACTGGAGGGGTGGGGTGCAGTACTGGAGGGATGGGATGCAGTACGGAAGGGATGGGATGCAGTACTGAAGGGATGGGATGCAGTACTGAAGGGATGGGATGCAGTACTGAAGGGATACGATGCAGTACTGGAGGGGTGGGATGCAGTACTGAAGGGGTGGGGTGCAGTACTGGATGGATAGGGTGCAGTACTTGAGGAATGGGATGCTGTAGTGAAGGGATAGGGTGCAGTACTTGGTGGGTTGGGTACAGTACTGGAAGGATAGGGTGCAGTACTTGGTGGGTGGGATGCAGTACTTGAGGGTGAGGTGAAGTAGTGAAGGGATGGGGTGCAGTACTGGGGTGGGGTGGGGTGGGGTGGGGTGGGGTGCAGTAATGTAAGGAAGGGTTGTGGTACTGTAAGGATGGATTGCATTACTGTACAGGTACACTGTAGGTTCATCTGATGAAAGGTTGATAGCAGTCCGTGGTAACTTGATTGCAGTGCAAGTTAGTTTTGCAGTCAAGGGAAACGGCGGCCATTTATCAGACACTAGGATCGAGGGGAAGTTAAGATAATTGTCCCCTTTTCAGCATACGTTGTATTAGTCGTATGTCACACGGCAGTGTCATCTCTTTGTTCCAGTATCGGCCTCTGTATGTCCACACACATCCCCAATGGACGCTCGTTCCGCGGGGAGACCATGGGCTCCCTCAACTGTGTGCGGGACAGGCTGGAGCGCCTGGACGTCACTGACGAGTACAAGTACAGAGAGGGTGAGCACAACTACACACAGGCTTAGAAAACAAGACGTTAGTGAGTGAGTGAGTGAGTTTGGTTTTACGCCGCTTTTAGCAATATTCCAGCAATATCACGGCGGGGGACACCAGAAATGGGCTTCACGCATTGTACCCATGTCGGGAATCGAACCCGGGTCTTCGGCGTGACGAGCGAACGCTGTAACCACTAGGCTACCCGACCGCCCCAAACAAGACGTTAAATCGGAAAGTGTGTGCAAATACTCACAAAGTGCTAATCAAAAGTTACAAAAACGTTTGAAATGTACCCCCTGCTGATATCATGATAAAAAGGATTCTGTTGGATGGAAAACCCACGCTACCACATTCTCAAACTTAAGTATTTGATATTTTTTATCCGATATTGAACATTTGAACCACCTCATCAGGCCTAAAGCAGTCGGCAAAACTAGTTAGAGGCTGAAAGTAATAATGCTTAGTGTGAATCGCACAATGACTGAGTGTGAGTGAGTACGGTTTTACGCCGCTTTTAGCAATATTCCAACAATATCACGGCGGGGGACACCAGAAATGGACTTCACATATTGTACCCATGTCGGGAATCGGCGTGACGAACGAACGCTTTAACCACTAGGCTACCCGACCAACCGTGAATCGCACAAACACACCCCGGGACGTCATGACAACTTAGTCAACTATATTTCATTACCATGTCTGAACAGCGTGTCGTCCACTTGCGATTGGATTTGTCATAACATAACACTCTTATGCATTAAACATTTCTACCTTGATCGATCAGCTCTTATTCGTCAAACGCTTGTAAGGTTGGCGTCCTTTGTTTGAAAAGCCTTTAAAGTATGTATGTATGATTCTTAGAAATAAAATAAAGTAATATAAATTTGTTTGGTCATCAGCGAAAGGTTTGGTTAATATTCCAAATACGAGCGGACGCAACATGTGATGTGATTGGAATATAAATCGCATGCATTTGGCATACAATCAAACGTTCTTTAATGTCTTGTTCGCAGAAGATCTAAGATGCGAGACTTTTTTCGTTGCTTTCTTCGTCGACCTTGTTGTACAAAAATAGACCACAGAACAGGTTTGGCATAGACTAGCTGCACTGTTGCAAGGGTGTGACTGCTTCAAGACTTATTAATATTTATCTATATGTTATATGTGACAAAGTTCAGTAACCAGGGTGATACAGTAAAGTGCGATAATACCTTGACTCCTACAGTGGTTCGGTGTCTGGGTTCATGGTCCCATTACTGACGAGAAATAAATGTGACGGAGATGTGTAGCTAATCCAAGCACATGTGTTGTATGTAGTAAGACAGGGATGTATCTGGAGCCATGTGTCGTGTGTAATGAGACAGGGATGTATCTGGGGCCATGTGTTGTGTGTAATGAGACAGTGGTGTATCTGGGGCCATGGGTCGTGTGTAATGAGACAGTGGTGTATCTGGGGCCATGTGTTGTGTGTAATGAGACAGTGGTGTATCTGGAGCTATGTGTTGTGTGTAATGAGACAGTGGTGTATCTGGGGCCATGTGTTGTGTGTAATGAGACAGTGGTGTATCTGGGGCCATGTGTTGTGTGTAATGAGACAGTGGTGTATCTGGGGCCATGGGTCGTGTGTAATGAGACAGTGGTGTATCTGGGGCCATGTGTTGTGTGTAATGAGACAGGGGCGTATCTGGAGCTATGTGTTGTGTGTAATGAGACAGGGATGTATCTGGGGCCATGTGTCGTGTGTAATGAGACAGGGGCGTATCTGGAGCTATGTGTTGTGTGTAATGAGACAGGGATGTATCTGGGGCCATGTGTCGTGTGTAATGAGACAGGGGCGTATCTGGAGCTATGTGTTGTGTGTAATGAGACAGGGATGTATCTGGGGCCATGTGTCGTGTGTAATGAGACAGTGGTGTATCTGGAGCTATGTGTTGTGTGTAATGAGCCAGGGATGTACCTGGGGCCATGTGTCGTGTGTAATGAGACAGGGATGTACCTGGGGCCATGTGTTGTGTATAGCTAGACAGGGGTGTGTCTGGGGCCATGTGTTGTGTATAGCTAGACAGGGGTGTGTCTGGGGCCATGTGTTGTGTATAGCTAGACAGGGATGTATCTGGGGCCATGTGTTGTGTGTAATGAGACAGGGATGTATCTGGAACCATGTGTTGTGTATAGCTAGACAGGGGTGTGTCTGGGGCCATGTGTTGTGTATAGTTAGACAGAGGTGTGTCTGGGGCCATGTGTTGTCTGTAATGAGACAGGTGTGAATCTGAAGCCATGTGTTGTGTGTAATGAGACAGGGATGTATCTGGAGCCATATGTTATCTGTAATAAGACAGGGATGTATCTGGGGCCATGTGTTGTCTGTAATGAGACAGGGATGTACCTGGGGCCATGTGTTGTCTGTAATGAGACAGGGATGTATCTGGGGCCATGTGTTGTCTGTAATGAGACAGGGATGTATCTGGGGCCATGTGTTGTCTGTAATGAGACAGGGATGTATCTGGGGCCATGTATTGTGTTTAATGAGACAGGGATGTACCTGGGGCCATGTGTTGTGTTTAATGAGACAGAGATGTACCTGGGGCCATGTGTTGTCTGTAATGAGACATGGATGTATCTGGACCCATGTGTTGTCTGTAATGAGACATGGATGTATCTGGACCCATGTGTTGTCTGTAATGAGACATGGATGTATCTGGGGCCATGTGTTGTCTGTAATGAGACAGGGGTGTATCTGGGACCATGTGTTGTCTGTAATGAGACAGGGATGTATCTGGGGCCATGTGTTGTCTGTAATGAGACAGGGGTGTATCTGGAACCATGTGTTGTCTGTAATGAGACAGGGATGTATCTTGAACCATGTGTTGTCTGTAATGAGACAGGGATGTATCTGGGGCCATGTGTTGTCTGTAATGAGACAGGGGTGTATCTGGAACCATGTGTTGTCTGTAACGAGACAGGGGTGTATCTGGGGCCATGTGTTGTCTGTAATGAGACAGGGATGTATCTGGAACCATGTGTTGTCTGTAATGAGACAGGGATGTATCTGGGGCCATGTGTTGTCTGTAATGAGACAGGGATGTATCTGGAACCATGTCTTGTCTGTAATGAGACATGGATGTATCTGGGGCCATGTGTTGTCTGTAATGAGACAGGGGTGTATCTGGAACCATGTGTTGTCTGTAATGAGACAGGGGTGTATCTGGAGCCATGTGTCGTGTGTAATGAGACAGGGATGTATCTGGGGCCATGTGTTGTCTGTAATGAGACAGAGATGTACCTGGGACCATGTGTTGTCTGTAATGAGACAGGGATGTATCTGGGGCCATGTGTTGTCTGTAATGAGACAGGGGTGTATCTGGAACCATGTGTTGTCTGTAATGAGACAGGGATGTATCTTGAACCATGTGTTGTCTGTAATGAGACAGGGATGTATCTTGAACCATGTGTTGTCTGTAATGAGACAGGGGTGTATCTGGAACCATGTGTTGTCTGTAATGAGACAGGGATGTATCTTGAACCATGTGTTGTCTGTAATGAGACAGGGATGTATCTGGGGCCATGTGTTGTCTGTAACGAGACAGGGGTGTATCTGGGGCCATGTGTTGTCTGTAATGAGACAGGGATGTATCTGGAGCCATGTGTTGTGTGTAATGAGACAGGGGTGAATCTGGAGCCATGTGTTGTCTGTAATGAGACAGGGATGTATCTGGGGCCATGTCTTGTCTGTAATGAGACAGGGGTGAATCTGGAGCCATGTGTTGTCTGTAATGAGACAGGGGTGAATCTGGGGCCATGTGTTGTCTGTAATGAGACAGGGGTGTATCTGGAGCCATGTGTTGTCTGTAATGAGACAGGGGTGTATCTGGGGCCATGTGTTGTCTGTAATGAGACAGGGATGTATCTGGGGCCATGTCTTGTCTGTAATGAGACAGGGGTGAATCTGGAGCCATGTGTTGTCTGTAATGAGACAGGGGTGTATCTGGGGCCATGTGTTGTCTGTAATGAGACAGGGGTGTATCTGGAGCCATGTGTCGTGTGTAATGAGACAGGGATGTATCTGGGGCCATGTGTCGTCTGTAATGAGACAGGGATGTATCTGGGACCATGTGTTGTCTGTAATGAGACAGGGATGTATCTGGGGCCATGTGTTGTCTGTAATGAGACAGGGATGTATCTGGAACCATGTGTTGTCTTTAATGAGACAGGGGTGTATCTGGAACCATGTCTTGTCTGTAATGAGACAGGGATGTATCTGGAGCCATGTGTTGTCTGTAATGAGACAGGGGTGTATCTGGGGCCATGTGTTGTCTGTAATGAGACAAGGATGTATCTGGGGCCATGTCTTGTCTGTAATGAGACAGAGATGTATCTGGAACCATGTGTTGTCCTTAATGAGACAGGGGTGTATCTGGAACCATGTGTTGTCTGTAATGAGACAGGGATGTACCTGGGACCATGTGTTGTCTGTAATGAGACAGGGGTGTATCTGGGGCCATGGGTCGTGTGTAATGAGACAGGGATGTATCTGGACCCATGTGTTGTCTGTAATGAGACAGAGATGTACCTGGGACCATGTGTTGTCTGTAATGAGACAGGGGTGTATCTGGAGCCATGTGTCGTGTGTTATGAGACAGGGATGTATCTGGGGCCATGTGTCGTGTGTAATGAGACAGGGGTGTATCTTGGGCCATGGTCGTGTGTAATGAGACAGGGGTGTATCTGGAGCCATGTGACGTGTGGAATGGGAAAGAGATGTATCTGGAGCCATGTGTCGTGTGTAATGAGACAGGGGTGTATCTGGAGCCATGTGACGTGTGGAATGGGATAGAGATGTATCTGGAGCCATGTGTCGTGTGTAATGAGACAGGGATGTATGGAGCCATGTGTCGTGTGTAATAAGACAGGGATGTATCTGGAGCCATGTGTCGTGTGTAATGAGACAGGGGTGTATCTGGAGCCATGTGTCCTGTGTAATGAGACAGGGATGTATCTGGAGCCATGTGTTGTGTGTAATGAGACAGGGATGTATCTGGACCCATGTGTTGTCTGTAATGAGACAGGGATGTATCTGGACCCATGTGTTGTCTGTAATGAGACAGGGATGTATCTGGACCCATGTGTTGTCTGTAATGAGACAGGGATGTATCTGGACCCATGTGTTGTCTGTAATGAGACAGGGATGTATCTGGAGCCATTTGTTGTCTGTAATGAGACAGGGATGTATCTGGAGCCATATGTTATCTGTAATAAGACAGGGATGTATCTGGAACCATGTGTTGTATGTAATGAGACAGGGGTGTATCTGGAGCCATGTGTTGTCTGTAACGAGACAGGGGTGAATCTGGAGCCATGTGTTGTCTGTAATGAGACAGGGATGTATCTGGGGCCATGTGTTGTCTGTAACGAGAAAGGGGTGAATCTGGAGCCATGTGTTGTCTGTAACGAGACAGGGATGTATCTGGAGCCATGTGTTGTCTGTAATGAGACAGGGATGTATCTGGAGCCATGTGTTGTCTGTAATGAGACAGGGATGTATCTGGAGCCATATGTTATCTGTAATAAGACAGGGATGTATCTGGAGCCATATGTTATCTGTAATAAGACAGGGATGTATCTGGAGCCATGTGTTGTCTGTAACGAGACAGGGATGTATCTGGAGCCATGTGTTGTCTGTAATGAGACAGGGATGTATCTGGAGCCATGTGTTGTCTGTAATGAGACAGGGATGTATCTGGAGCCATATGTTATCTGTAATAAGACAGGGATGTATCTGGAGCCATATGTTATCTGTAATAAGACAGGGATGTATCTGGGGCCATGTGTTGTCTGTAATGAGACAGGGATGTATCTGGGGCCATGTGTTTCCGTAATGAGACAGGGATGTATCTAGAGCCATGTGTTGTCTGTAATGAGACAGGGATGTATCTGGAGCCATGTGTTGTCTGTAACGAGACAGGGGTGAATCTGGAGCCATGTGTTGTCTGTAATGAGACAGGGATGTATCTGGGGCCATGTGTTGTCTGTAACGAGAAAGGGGTGAATCTGGAGCCATGTGTTGTCTGTAACGAGACAGGGATGTATCTGGAGCCATGTGTTGTCTGTAATGAGACAGGGATGTATCTGGAGCCATGTGTTGTCTGTAATGAGACAGGGATGTATCTGGAGCCATATGTTATCTGTAATAAGACAGGGATGTATCTGGAGCCATATGTTATCTGTAATAAGACAGGGATGTATCTGGGGCCATGTGTTGTCTGTAATGAGACAGGGGTGTATCTGGAGCCATGTGACGTGTGGAATGGGAAAGAGATGTATCTGGAGCCATGTGTCGTGTGTAATGAGACAGGGGTGTATCTGGAGCCATGTGACGTGTGGAATGGGATAGAGATGTATCTGGAGCCATGTGTCGTGTGTAATGAGACAGGGATGTATGGAGCCATGTGTCGTGTGTAATAAGACAGGGATGTATCTGGAGCCATGTGTCGTGTGTAATGAGACAGGGGTGTATCTGGAGCCATGTGTCCTGTGTAATGAGACAGGGATGTATCTGGAGCCATGTGTTGTGTGTAATGAGACAGGGATGTATCTGGACCCATGTGTTGTCTGTAATGAGACAGGGATGTATCTGGACCCATGTGTTGTCTGTAATGAGACAGGGATGTATCTGGGGCCATGTGTTGTCTGTAATGAGAAAGGGGTGAATCTGGAGCCATGTGTTGTCTGTAACGAGACAGGGATGTATCTGGAGCCATGTGTTGTCTGTAATGAGACAGGGATGTATCTGGAGCCATGTGTTGTCTGTAATGAGACAGGGATGTATCTGGAGCCATGTGTTGTCTGTAATGAGACAGGGATGTATCTGGAGCCATGTGTTGTCTGTAATGAGACAGGGATGTATCTGGAGCCATATGTTATCTGTAATAAGACAGGGATGTATCTGGAGCCATATGTTATCTGTAATAAGACAGGGATGTATCTGGGGCCATGTGTTGTCTGTAATGAGACAGGGATGTATCTGGGGCCATGTGTTTCCGTAATGAGACAGGGATGTATCTAGAGCCATGTGTTGTCTGTAATGAGACAGGGATGTATCTGGAGCCATGTGTTGTCTGTAATGAGACAGGGATGTATCTGGAGCCATGTGTTGTCTGTAATGAGACAGGGATGTATCTGGAGCCATGTGTTGTGTGTAATGAGACAGGGATGTCCCTTTGGGCCATGTGTTGTGTATAGCTAGACAGGGATGTATCTGGGGCCATGTGTTGTGTATAGCTAGACAGGGATGTATCTGGGGCCATGTGTTGTCTGTAATGAGACAGTGATGTATCTGGAACCATTTCTTGTCTGTAATGTACAGGCAGTACCAGAGAGCGCACCGTTGTCCGCAAAGCTGAGATGATGTTCCGAAGGGCAGCGGCTTACCGCAGTGGGTTTGAAAGCAACAGGAAGAAAGCGGCAATGGAGGTTTGTTTGTTTTGTTTTTAGTTTGTTCGTTTGTTGTTTAACGCAGCACTCAGCAACATTCCAGCTGTATGACGTCGGCCTGTAAATAAGCGAGTCTGGATCAGACAATCCAGTGATTGACATCATGAGCATCGATTCACGCAATTTGGGTTGTCGACTATTTTGCTGCTTCATAGTCAGAATGCAATTGTTTGATTCACGTTTCATATCATTTCCTGAATCATCACTAACAGGCTAGGTTTAAGGGGCGGGATTTCAAGGATATATTTCACATTGTTTGTGATGTTTCTACATGTTCCCATGTGTTTTTTCAGGTTCACAAAAAGACCGCCTCCGTGGTCTAGTGGCAGAGCGTCCGCACGGAGAGCGGAAGGTCCGGGGTTCGATCCCCGGCCGCGTCATACCAAAAGACGTTAAAAGATGGTACTTGTTGTTACCCTGTCTGGCGCTCGGAATTAAGGGGCTAAAACAAGGACTGGTCGGCTCAGAGTCAGTATACTATGTCTGAGTGGGGTATTCATGTTAAACTGCGGCATGGTATCTCAGTGAGCTAGCACTATAAATCGGCATCAGTCCGGACTAGTACAATCAGCCACACAAACACACACACGTACATGCACGTCGCTATATACGTGCAATAATCTTTGACGCGACGTTAGACCCCATTTCACCTCACCTCAGGTGCATAAGTTTGTGACGGTGCGACCGATGGGGCAGGATAACCTGGTATCATCACTGTTTTGTCCTTTTGTTGCTTTCACTATGTCACTGTTCTAATTTTCAGACCATCAGCGTTGAGCTCGAACAAGAGGAGGATATATTTGTGGGCAACGGCTTCGAGTTTGTTGTGACTGTGAGGAACTCCGGGAACGCTGACCGCACTGTGAAGCAGTTGGTCGTCAAGGTGTACTACAAGACGTACTTCGACATCTACACCGGCATCGCGGGCGTCAGGAGGTTTGAAGCCTTCCCCGTCGACGGCGGAGATGGTAAGGGGCAGATAGGTTTCACGCAAAGAGAGAAGGAGAAAGGGGAGTTTGCGGATATGCATAGAGGAAGGCGTGTGCACGTGCGAGCATGTGTGCGTGCGTGCGCTCGTGCGTGTGTGTGTAAATGGTTAGACGGAGGAAGGGTGTGAGGGGTGGGATGGACAGAAAGGGCCGGGCTACGATGAGTATCGAAAGGACGGCTTAGGAGACAGATTTGAGTGACGTTGTGGTGGAAGGACGTTGCATGGCAGATAGACATTATGAGAATATGCCATGAAATAACTTTAAGGTGAAAACAAATAAATACAAAATGAAATGCTCGACATGTTCACTCCTGCTGTTTGGTTGATGACAATTAAAATATTCTGGTTTAGGTGTTTAAATGCGCCCTGTCCTCTATTCCTAGCGGTATCCTACCGGATCGTTGTTAACGAGGAGCGTGCGGCAAAACGTCCTCAAGATGGCTTCTACTTTGAGATCAAGGCTCTAGCAGAACTAAGCGACGCTTCAACAGTTGTTACAAGCACCATGGACTTCCGCCTGAGACGCCCTGATATGGAAATCGAGGTAAATGGAAAACAACATGGAGGTGATCTGATGCCGTTATATCTTCACGCTGACCGCCTCCGTGGTCGAGTGGGTACAGCATCTGCCCGGAGAGCGGAAGGTCGCTGGTTCGATCCTCTGGCCGTGTCATACCAAAAGATCGTACTTGTTATTACCCAGCCTGGCGCTCGGCATTGAGGGAAACCTGAATTTATAATATCTTCGTACGTTATATAGTGCAAGCTCGATAATATAAGGACATACAAGCTAGGAAATTATTTCATAAAACACATGCTAGGCGTAACTTGACATACGAATGCGCAAACACTGAATTTTTCAAATATTTACTCTGGTCTACAAGACTTGGTGCAATTTCCTTTTTTACTGCTTTGCGTCTGTTAACCATATCAAAAGTAGTTCAACATATGAAGCGAAATAGGCACTGTCTTGTCATGAGCAAGAATACCTGACATATTGATTCACCTTTATATTCAGATCATAATTATTGTCTCCCCAATACTAACACGCATACATGAATGTGTTGGGGGTGACAATAATTTATGAGCATGGGTATATTTCATCCGATTGACAGTGTTTCTACGACATCGCTAAAACCTGTTCACGTCTCTATCAATAACCGACCCAAAAACGGGTGTACACTAAATAATTAAAGCAAAGATGCCTCAGAAGATACAAAAAATCTGGCTACGGAGGGAGAACCTAATCACTCTCAAGACAGGGTACGGAGCAGAGTCCCATACCTTACGATTCTTTGTTGGTAATGCCAAACTTGATATTCCACGCACGGATGCAATAAGGATTTCCCTACCATTAGCTACCTTTTCAAATGAAAAAAATGGCTTAACAGAACAGTTTGCAGCAGTGTAATAATGTATTGGAGTTTAGTATTTCAAAAGTTCAATATTGTTCATCTATTGTATGGCAGGGCCCCGCGAGCTGTCGAAGATCTCAGACGATCGAACTCCAGGTGACCTTCACAAACCCCCTGAAGGTGGCGCTCACCAACTGCCAGGTGGACATCGAGGGGGGATTCAAATTTGTCAAACCTTCAATGGACAAGTTCCTCATTCCGTGAGTATTATCTTACCAAGTTCCTCAACCGTCAGTATGTTTTTTATCTTGCCAATTTCGATATTTTGCGAGTACTTCCAAGCAAAGGTCTTCCTTCTGTGAGTCCACTCTAGCAACAGATCTCCAATTGTCAAAAGGGACAGAAAATTCAATGATATAAATGATTTCATTGGATTTATCAAAAACGACAAGATCAGGTTTGTTGGCCTTGAAACGTCAGAGGGTGTAAACGGGCCTAATATTATTATCATTGTTATTATTGTTATAATGTTGTTGTTGATATGATGATGATGATGATGATGATGATGATGATGATGATGCGTGTACGCCCAGTCCAACAATACAATGCTGTCATCAGTTAAATGTTCTTGATATTATTTAAACCACCAACCAATGCTCTAGTAAAGGATTCTGGGCACGAAATAAACCAGTCAAATATTGGTTCGTCTTCAGACACTAATCGTATAATTCAATATCTTATGATGTATTTTCAATATTTTTCAGGAACATCGGACCTGGTCAAAAGTGGCGAGAAACGTTGACTGTAGTTCCCAAGCCACACCCCAAGGACAAGGACGAGAGGGCTCTGACCATCGGCCTCCACTGCAAACAACTGGCGGACATCAGCGGACACTACACGGTCAATATAGACAAGGGATACTTCTAGCTGACCATAGTTCACGTGGCTGGGGACTACTTTTAGTTGACCGCACCACCGCTAGCCAATCAGCAACAGGGACTTATTTTAGTTGATCAATCCACCGCTAGTCTGCGTCGAGTAGCACTATTTTATAACGGCACTACAACCAGTCTACGTCGATTCGCACTACTTTTGTTAAATCACACCACGGCTTGTCTACGTCCAAAGGGGTTAGTTTTAGTAGACCGCACCACCGCTAGACGTCATCGCAAGGGACTCCACCAACGCTTGTCAACATCACCAGGCGTTATATTTAGTTAACTTGACAACCGTCCGCCAACGTTAGTTTCCAGCACCCTTGTTTGACGACGAAGTAAGGCAAAAATTCGACAAGCCTGACACAACCAATATTCCTCTAACAGCAGGGCAGACAGGCTCCACTTTGTCACCTGAGTGTTAAAACTCAAATTATACATTTCAAAGACTGACACGTGTTCTTTTTTGTTTCCTATTCCAACCCGTGACATCAAGTCAATTTCAACAGGACACACTAAGCTCCGTATTTCAGCGATATTCATGATGACTTCATAATGAGCTAAGCGATCTTCGAGCTTTCATCGTCTTTCATCTACGCTGTATACACAAAGTGACACTAAGATCAGTAGTCGGACTTTGTGAATTGTGGTTAAAACAGGAAATACCTGGCCCCTCGTTACAAGCACGTCCCTGTGCCCTGCTGACACATGCATGTCACAAGGACGGTGTTACTATATTTAAGAATACACTACTATTGCATTTCGTTTTTAACAATTTATAATTTGAATAAATCATTTCCCTAAGAGATTTGTTGTTTTGTTTTGTTTTATTTAATGATAACCTGTTGAGTTAGAGCCTATTTTGAGAGGTTGCGTAGTGCAAATACCTGGTATGTACAGAGGTGTATTATGCATGCCAAGAAGCTGTAGTAACGTAACATTTCTTATAGAAGACATCCCGAAATTTGCAATGGTGTGCTAAAATAGGGGTGCATGTGAAACGTTGTCACGTTTAGGTTAATTAATACATTGACGTATGACTGTATAACTATTGTGTTTGGTTGTAGTTAAAGGTACGTTTTTTGCACTCGTGTGTTACGTTGTAGTTAGCGGTAAAATCGTAACACTATTATATTACGTTGTAATTTGTGGTATAACCGTTACACTATTATGTTACGTTGTAATTTGAGGTATAACCGTTACACTTTTATGTTACGTTGTAATTTGTGGTAAAACCGTTACACTATTATATTACGTTGTAATTTGAGGTATAACCGTTACACTTTTATGTTACGTTGGAATTTGTGGTAAAACCGTTACAATATTATATTACGTTGTAATGTGTGGTATAACCGTTACACTATTATATTACGTTGTAATTTGAGGTATAACCGTTAAACTTTTATGGCACGTTGTAATTTGTGGTATAACCGTTACACTATTATATTACATTGTAATTTGTGGTAAAACCGTTACACTATTATATTACGTTGTAATTTGAGGTATAACCGTTACACTTTTATGTTACGTTGTAATTTGTGGTAAAACCGTTACAATATTATATTACGTTGTAATTTGTGGTATAACCGTTACACTATTATATTACGTTGTAATTTGAGGTATAACCGTTACACTTTTATGTTACGTTGTAATTTGTGGTATAACCGTTACACTATTATATTACGTTGTAATTTGTGGTATAACCGTTATACTATTATATTTCGTTGTAATTTGTGGTATAACCGTTACACTATTATATTTCGTTGTAATTTGTGGTATAACCGTTACACTATTATATTACGTTGTAATTTGTGGTATAACCGTTACACTATTATATTACGTTGTAATTTGTGGTATAACCGTTACACTATTATATCACGTTGAATTTGTGGTATAACCGTTACACTATTCTGTTTCGTTGTAGTTTGTGGCACGTCTGTTACACAGTGTACGACAGTAACCACATTGTGGTGAAACCACCTGGTAAAACTGTAACCCAGAATACAACATTGACATACACGGTCAGAAAACTATCGTGTTTCATTGAACTCATAGGTGAAAGTATTAATATTGTACTATTGTTTTTATCACGCTCTTGAAACGATGAAAAGGGTGCGAGAAACAGCACAAGCGGACAAGCACCTAATCAGACACATTTGTGTGGTACAACACAAAGTTACTCATACAGGTCTACCATTCATTATCACATCACACCCTTTCACCCACTACGCACAGCCCGCGTGAAAGACGATCTGTGACCAGTGACCGTGTAGGTAGGTATCTGCACGTTGGCTTCAGGTAACGTATTATACACACCGGAGACGCCGCCGCATAGTTAACGCCCCACGACCATGCTACCTTGTTGATAAGAAAACACACGCCTTAACAAACGCAGAGAATATAACAGTGACTTCTCTTTCAACACAGGCGTCCTCAAACTTCGATCAATGAGACACGGATACATATTGTCAATTCCAACCAATCACAACGTCTGTTACATTTGAACATGGTGACGAGTGTTGTATACGTGTGTTTATCTATCGAGTTGATGCCTCTGCGTGTTGACACTTGAGTATCGTGCGTCGCGTTCTTACCTGCAGATCGGACCAACTGCATCAAACCATACAGGTGAGTGCACGTTAGATGGTGCAGTATTTGATGATGCACTCTTAATCGTTGCTCGGTCATCAAACATGCTGCATGTATGGCATGGTCATGCAACAAATGCATCGATCCACACATACCATTATCTAAAAACGTTGTATTAAGCTTTAAGTTTCATTTAATAATGTTTTTTATTCTACCCGAGAACACATTCAGATTCATAAACATTGCATTGTTATTTTTAATCACAGCTATGTATCTGTCTCACCCATTGTCAGGTGAGTCACGTGACTCCCAGGTGTAACGACAGGTGTTGTTTACCTGTATCGTGTATACGTGTAGTAAGCAGTTCCATAAAGTTAGCTGTAAGTCTACATATAAAATGCACACACAAAGGTATAGAGATAATTAGTACAAATTAAGCAAAGATGTCACGGATATTTAAGTTCAGCGTGAAATCAATAAGGGCGTTGAAACAGGTAACCGTTACATCAAACCAAACTGTGTCGACATCCACGTAATTACTTCATGGGTGAAGTATTGCTGCACCAAGTAATACACGTGGGTTCTCCAATTTCCACACCCTCACGCAGACCGCCACCACCCTCAGCCCCCCTCCCTCCCCTTATTCCCACCCTAAACACCCATCCCCGATTCAATCTTGTTTGTTCCATGTTCAACGCACTGAAAGAAGATGTGTTATTGCAACCTGAACCAATAAATACCCTAAACCGTATTTATATAAGTGATAAAGGTTGTCGGCAGGGTTACACTGTTTGCTAGGGTGTATTCTGAAGGCCCCTGTTCTCCCTCTCAAGGAGGCAGTGTAAGAGAGTAGCTGAGACAAGTTTATATCTCCTTCGCTGATCGGTAAATACATTTTCTATACAATATCCGTCATACACACACGCTTCGGTACAACGTCACGGTATGTTAACAGTAAGACGGGTTTTTTAATCGACGTGAAATCAAACGACGCAAACTTTGTCAAAGAATGTAAAAAGATATTTCATGGTTTACTGGTTTGCACTAGGTCATACGGGGCGGTTAAAATGTCCCACGTCTGAATAAGGCGTTTTGAAGGTTGATATAGACGCTGTCTCTCGGTGCACAGTCTAAGTGGTCAGGCTACACCAGACACTGCACGTTGTCTGGGGCGTGGCATGGTGGTCATCTGTAACAGGAAGCTTGTTGTCTATGTCAGGCACATCCTGGTGGTCCGGTTCTCTTCACCTTCATCCGTTTCATCTTTTGGTGTGGGATGGTCGGGTAACCTAGTGGTTAAAGCGTTCGCTCGACACGCCGAAGACCCGGGCTAGATTCCCGACATGGGTACAATGTGTGACACCCATTTCTGGTGTCCCCCGCCGTGATATTTCTGAAATATTGCTAAAAGCGGCGTAAAACCATACTCACTTACTTACTTCTTTTGGTGACCGCTGTGTCAAAAACATACCCCAAAACATGTAATATTCTCTTCCCTGTAACGCTACTTTGAGTGTTCAGAGTTTTACGCCGCTTGTGGCAATGGTTCATTCGTGACCAACTCGTGTTATTCCGGGACAAGCCGAATAGCGACTCGTGCCCCTCTCATGGCCATTTTTGCGACCGGGTTCCGTCTTAGCGCAAACGGGCATACCTAAAACAATTGTCAACTCGTTGCGTAATGGTTCACGTACATTTCCCAATTTATTATATATATTTCAGATGCAATTTAAAGCACATCGGGACATGCGGAATTATACAGTATGTTTGAACACATTTAACTGTATCTTGGGTATATTTGTAGATGCAAGACATATGTAAGATCAAAAAATATTTCTGAGGGATTCTTTGACGAAGAACCTGAAATTATACGCGCATTCCATTGGTTTGTCGTATTTTCGCACATAACATTCATCGATAGGGAGACGAGTCTTCTTGCAGGTTACGGAAAGGGGCGAGTGGTAACGAATGGCAATGCTGAAGCCGTATCACGGCGGGCAATTCACTTAAGATTTAACAACCCTGTGACTGGTTACTTGTTGTATTTTCATTGCGTCTCTTTTATGATTTCTGGAAACAGTCTTTATGTCGTTCCGAGATTAGATATTTTAGCCAAAATATTGGGATATCCTCAGTTAGTTAAGGACTTGTTGTCTCATACAATAAACACAAAGAGCTAAATTCTTACCCTGCATGTTAAAAAAATTATATGTGCGTGTGTTGAAGTTGCTTGTCCATTGCGATTATTTCCGCACGCCAAGGTAATCCAATACCCACCTTTGTTTGGTTGTACTGATTTCACTGACAACAATACTGTTAGACAGAGATCGATAATATAGATAGATATTCATTCCTTGAGGATTCCCACCTGGAGGCTCGGCAGTCAATGTTCACTGCAGGGGGTATTAGTATTCATATTATTAGTTAGGTAACTTTCTTCCGTAATTTACAGTTGACAACTGACTGAATAATAATAACAGCAACAAAACCCTTTCCGTCATCACAAGTGAGTGAGTGAGTTGGGTTTAACGCCGCTTTTAACAGTATTCCAGTTATATCGCGGCGTGTCAGCTTAATGTGGGAGGAAAGCCCGAAGTGATGCAGGTCTCAGACGTTTACCAATTCGGTGAAACCCACGAGCACGGGTATGGTGCTGACAAACCTAGCAACATAATCGGGGCGAACCGGGATTCGAACCCACAATCATAGGTTTCTGTCGTGCCCAAGGGACGCAACTCTGCACAGCGAATCGCGGCGCCTTAGACGACTTGGCCACCCGTGCCCCCCGTAATCACAAGTAATCTCTACGAAAAAGCAGAGTCCAAACTATGATTCAGAATAAGCATTTGCATCACTATTACAAAATAGTGATTATGCCAGGTGATCGCGAAACGGTTATTGTATCCTGCCTTACAGATGGCCAACGTCACAAACACATGCAAATGCAAAGCAAGTGTGCATCTGAACAGACATGGGAGCATTAGGTACGTATTGAAATAGGGGATTGCATTGGACAACCTCATGGTCACTGATGCGTCAGATTTGGAAAAGTCCAGACAAGCTGTCACTGTTCATTCTGCCTATTTGACAGTCGTTCCTGGATCTGAGTTTACACCGTCCTGCTCAACGCTGATTTGTTGTTGTTTAACGCCGCACCCACATATATTCCAGATACATGACGACTGTCTGTAAATTACCGAGTCTGGATCAGAAAAGCCAGTGATTGAGATCATGAGTACCGATCTACGCAATTGGGATGCGATGACATGCATCTACGAAGTCAGCGAGTCTGACCACCCGATGCCGTTAGTCACCTTTTACGTCAGGCATTGCCACCTTTTACGGCAAGCGTGGGTTGCTGAAGACCTATTCTACCCCGGATCTTCACGGGACCCTGCTCAGTGCAAAATATAAGGAAGACTTGTTTTGTGGACAGTGTGTGTGTGTGTGTGTGTGTGTGTGTGTGTGTGTGTGTGTGTGTGGCTGCTTGTCCTCGTCTAGACTAATGCCGGTTTTATAGTGCTACCCCATGATACCATGTTGCAGTGTATCATGGATGATCCACACAAGCACAGGATACTGGCTCCGAGTCGACTGGCCCTTGTTGTGTCTCCTTAATGCAGGAGGGATAGCAACAACCTTTGGTATGACTATGACAGGGATAGAACCATCAGGTCCACGCTCTATCCAGTAGAACACGAAGGCGTTACCGAATGGCCAGAGGTTAACAAATGACAGCTTTGATGTGTTTGTTTAAGAATATAGTTTTTGTCCGACTGTTACCTGTAGCGCCTGATTCTTTACTTGATACATATGGTTTAGAGAGCTTGTCCGCTACCCAGGCCCATTCCCGCCAATGGTGAGATCATCACTGCATGCCTCTATATTTTGCCAGATACTTTTCGTTTTGAATTGGCCTACCACGTGTGACCAGAATTACTTCAAGATCAGTGCCCTGGCAATCGACAGGTTGGAGATTGTATCCGTAAGATTGAGCTTTGATTCTAAAGTAGGTATCAGCTACTTGATGAGCCAAAGTATCTAAAGATAAAATATAGAGGTATACAGGAAAAAATGATCTCGCCAGTGGCGGGTATATGCCCCCGTAGTCCGCGAAAAAAACAAAATGATAAATTAAGACAACTGTCTACAATGTTATGGTAACACCAGTCAGTAACTATACTGACGAACAAAAGAAACTAAGTAAACACTGGAAAATCGGATTTGAAAATACAATTTCAAACTTTGTCAAAACGTTACAGCACTGAAAAGAGTCACCGCCGAAACGCTGCAAACTTTAGGTCCAAAAAAAAATATGATACCTGTATCAAATACATCAACATCGAAAAACTAGTTCTTGTTTGTTTGCCTTTTAGCCACCATGAAATATGGGTGTATACTTTCTATTATATATATATGTACATTATATATTAACAGAAATTCAAATCGCATCAAACGTACACTATGTAAGTACTTTAAAGTAAATAACAGAAGATTTGAATTCTTGTTCATTGGTTAAAGCATTTCTGGTATGGTTGTGGTCATAACTTTTGCACCACTATTTTGCATTCTCCGCCGATAACAGAGACTGATTATTTTATGTATTAATGTTTAATATGTCTTCTTAAGTAACTTAAGTATTTTTACACAAGGGCAGATATATATTAATAATATATATATATACACCGCTTTTGTAGTGTCTCTCTGTTCTGTTAACGATTTATTCGACTATTGTTTTATACACCATATATATATATATATATAATGGTGTATAAAACAATAGTCGAATAAATCGTTAACAGAACAGAGAGACACTACAAAAGCGTTGCCAGTCATGCATTAATACATGTATCCCACAGCAGTAGTTTGAAGGTCAACGTATTAAAATACCACTCCAACCTGTCATGCAATCAATTAAATCTTCCGACTAGACTGAATATGAGGTGTAATATATGGGAACGCCTTAGGTATCGCAATGTATTCAAGCATTGGCGAACCTTGTATATCCTTCGATTCAATGACTTATACTCGCAGTGCGG